TAAATTGTGTCGATGATTAACTTACGTTAATAATATATGAACGTAATTTTCATCAATCATATGAAGAAAATATTTTCACTTCTTCGCTCTGTTAACAATTTAACTGAATGAACCCAATGATTAAAAAAAAATGAGTTTTAAACATTGATATTGTCCTTGGCTTTTTTTTATCTTTCTTTATCATTTCAATACAATTAATGTATAGCTATACATTTGATCAATCAATATTGACCTATTTTACGCGTTCATCTGCCCCCTATTCATTTTTCCTTATAGATCAAATATTATCGTAGTTGTTATAAATAAAAAGAGAAGCAAAAGAGGAAACAAGACCACATACAAATGCCTACGAAAGAAAACACATTTGAATGAACATTATAGTCAATATGTGTATATAAAATTAACAAGAATATTTCCATTTTATTTTTTTGTAATTCGGAAATGTATTTGTTAATTAGAATGCGAACAACAAAATCACAGTAGGCTGCATTATTACGATCTTTGTTTATTATTGGACAAATAGAGGAAATGAATGCAGAGAGAAAAAAAAAATAAGTTCAACATCTAATCAGAATTAGATAGTTTTTTTTCTTATTAATGATAATGGTATTATTCCAAGGACTAGTTCACACATAAGAATGAACTTTTCATTATCAAACAAACGTATAGAAAATGCTATTCAACTAACGAATAGTATATTTCCATTAATTATATTACCATTAGCAACAGTTGGTAATTTACTTTGTTTTCTTGTTTTTTGTCGACCAATATTTCAAAAACGTTTAACACGTACATCCTCAATATGTCTACGTTTATTATGTATAAATGATTTAATTTTATTATATTTATTTACCATTGATGTTTTATTAAAAGTTTATATGGAACCATCAAAACGTATTTACTCAACACCAGAAACATGTCGTTTATATAAATTTATTCGTTATTCATTTTTGGATATGTCAGCTTATCTACAATTAGGTTTAACAACTGATCGTTTCATATGTTGTGTTCATCATACATATTATTCACATTGGCGTAAAAAGAATTATCTATATTATTTACTAATGACTGCATTTGTATTAATTATTCTAAAAAATTCATCATTTTTATCTCCATTATATGGTTATACAGCGCCAAGTCATAAACGTAATGTTACCAAATGTTCAGTTAAAAAAGAAGCAGCATATTTTGCAAGGTATATGGCTTATGGACAATCATTAATTGATGTTATTTTTATAACATGTGTACCATTTTTTCTTATAGTTTATTTTAATTCAAGAATTTTAAGAGAAGTATTACGTTTACGTCCTGAATGTTGGAGTACATTGACAAAAATAATAAATTTAAAACCAGGACAAAATCAAAATTCAAATCGACCTCAAACGGTTATTTTTGCATGTTCTCGTTCTAGACGTCGTCGTCTTCATTTAACATTTGCACTTGGTTGTATATCATTTGTATTTGTATTGAGTGCGGCACCATACAAATTTTTTAAAATTGTTGAAAGACATGATAAAGTTGTACGTGATCGAGATAAAAATGGAGCTTCAAAGTCAATTAAACTACAATTAGCTGAAGTTATTATTGACTGTCTTCAATATTTTTCATGTTCAACACCTTTTTTTGTTTGTTTTACTACATCAAGCATGTTTAGAGAGGAATTACATCTTTTATTTCAATAAAAATATGGAAATATATAAAAAAATAAAAACTTAACAATGTAGCCCCTTTCGAAACTAACATGTAGAACACACAAACTCTAAGTTTTGTAAACTTGTGGTATATTGTCCAAGGTTTTTAAGTAATTTATTTAAAAAGAAAAATGTTGCCAAATAAAAAGAGTAACACAAAATTATAACAAGTTTTATGGTTGAGAAGTGCACTGCAATCTTCTCATTTCGAAACTGTTGACATATAGAATTTCTTTTCTACCAATTTATTTGAATCCTTTAACATCATTATACTACAAAAACTTATTTTCTATGATCAAATACATCGTCAATATACAAGACTTCCCTGCTTGTAATGATCACATATATATATGATAAATACCATGGAAAGCGGCATATAACATTTTACATTTCGCTTGATCGGTTCAACCATCATATGAGCCTGCTATATACATTGATTTAATCGTTCAAAAAAAGTTACCGCACACATCATTCGGTCTCTCGACGAATTATTGACATAAATGGTAGAGTTTTGCCTGAATTTAAAACTCATTTGGCACATACTTTTCTATTCTCGTTCTATTTTGACTCCACTAGATTAAAACTAGGATGACTTGAATAATCGACTTCTGCAATAAGATCGTTTTGCTGCATTAAAACCAGAATCTGCTACATATAGACTAGTTAGCATCTCCAGAGTTCCAGAATGATCTAAGCACTTCTATAATATAGACGCCTTTTCTCATTGCTAGGAAAACATACACGAAAATCTTTAGCTTCTCATTGTCTGGTTGCTAGTACTATGATCCATATTAAGAACACGGAATCATATTATTCGTGTTATATATCTTCTTCATGTTCTCTTCCTTTCTTCTCTCTATTCTTTTTTGTCTTTTCTTGAGATGCATGATGCGTCTTTCAGCATTTTTTTGTGTGTATAATGGTTAGCATGGTATTATCTGAAACAAAAATAAGAAGAATTAATAGTCAGATACATCTTAACATCCGCTATCTAGTTGCTAGGAGCGGCCCACAAAAACTTTGATTTAAACTGACAACCACTATTATTTTCTTGAAACATATGCGCGAGTTTCACAAAAAAGAACAAAGTAGATAGAAAATTTGACTTTCGAACCAGTTAGAATGTTCGCTGCCTAATCTTCCTTTATTTCGAAAATCACGGTTAAATATATGTAAATGTGAATGCACTGGAAAAAAAACATAAGTGAAAAGAAAATATCAACACACCTGAGCTAGATCAAGAAAGAAAGAATGATATGGAATATACCATGAGCGCAGAAAAGGAAAGAAAACCTTGTTAGCGCAGCCCCTGTGGGGCTGAAATGTGGAACTCACACATCTTTGGCTTTATTATACTAATCATAAAATATCCAATATTTAAATTCTCCAAAAGATAATAGTTCTTTTCTAATAATAATCGACTATCAGAAAACGCTGTCTTTTTTATCTCTATATTTTGAACAGACATTTTTCTTTTTTGGGCGAAGTTGCTACGGTCTGTAACGGAGGTGTCTGTAATGGGGGTCTGTCTGCAAGAAGGGGGGGAGTCGCGATACCTTGAACTTAAAACTTACACGCACTATTTTCTTTGAAAATATATGTGAGTTCCACAAAAGAATACATATGAAAACGTCATCTATAACAGAATGAAAGAATAGAAGAAAACGTAAGATCAACTCTCCTATCCTAACAGAACCGTTGTTTTTCTTTGGCTTAGTCAGTTTGATTTCAGATCAATATAAAAAATCGAAAATAAAAATCTCATATGACGAGTTTAGGTGATAGTGAGGCAGAAACAAAAATTTTTCACAGTCATTTGAAAATTATCAAAAAGTATGTACTTCCTATATTTGGTTGTTGTAGTATCGTCGTTAATGAGTAAGTTGAATTTATATATATATATAAGAGTAAAAAAGTCTCCAGTTTGCTCACATTCGATGGTCTCTCATTAGACGATCTTTTTCCAGTTCGTTCATAATTCCCAGAAAAAAACGAAATGACAAACCTTCATTCATCTTCATGAGTATTCATTTAAAGAATTCTCTCTCAAATGAACATTACTTAAGTAAAACTTATATAATAATCTTGGTTAAAACGATGAGTCATGTCAGCGATCATTGTTAATACGCACATATTGAACACAAAAAACAAACAATACGTTAGCATGGAATGCACAGCTACACATTGAAATATACCTGTACTTAATTATCAAAGTTTACAATTATCAAACTAAGTCTGTAAAATCTTCAAAATATGATTTGTTCAGCAGTAACAACAAACAAATCAATCGTTTTCATCATATACATAACATACCTATACAATATAAAAGTTGACAATGTTTGTAATTTTCTTGCTACTCTCTCATCGATACTAAACATAATCATGAATCATTCTAATTAATAATATTAAGATCCAAATGAGAAAACATCGAATGGAACCCAGTCGAGAATAAACAGTAAATGCACGAGGTCTTAAACTTCATCATAACAATACTAACTTTTTTTTGTTTTTTGAAAAACTGACTTAATCTTTTTATTTCTGATAATAGGGAGGTATTCGAAATTTTTATTTCTAAATAAATAGTTAAGTGAGACATTTTCATTCAATTAAAATCAAACTTGTTTGTAGATAATATTAACTGTAATAGTCTGAATCTCTTATCATTGATTTATACAAAATTTTATCAGAGAAAGATTTTAAATAGTTAATGCTAAAAATTGAGAAGATACTTGAATTAAATTAGAAAATTCTATATTTCATTGAAAATTATCTCTAATTAAAATTTTTCTACTACTTTGCCTCAACTTTTTATTTGTATAACTTAAAAATTTATCATTTTTTTTTTTTACTAAAATCGTCACATTATTCATAATCAAAAAACTAGTTAAACAAAAGAAAAACTAACAAAGGCGAATCTATGTCAAAAGCACCACTTTCGTTGTTGATTTTGACTGATCCTAAAATCAACTTTAATGTCAATAAATATATCAAGCCTTTGAGTAGGTCAACAGAGTTCATATTTTATTTATCATGAATAATTTAGGACCTGTAAATATTGGTGTCAAATTAGAAAAAGATTAATAAGGTTAAGTCAATATTATGACTATTAGTTTTTACGTCGGAAAAAAAGAATTTTATAGTTATTTTCAATGAACGTAATTATCTTCTACATCAAATACCTCAATACAAAATAGCAAAGTTAGTATTTGTCTAATCGTTTTAGTCACATCAAATGGTCAATCGGTAGTACCATGTATAAGAAATATTAGTGGTGACACTTTGGAGTTTGTCTGTTCGAGTCCAACAATCATGGAAACACTTGATATTGATAATCTTACAAATTCCACTTTAAATCTTATTAGAAAACTCCAAGTTATTGGAAAAAATATTCGAGGCCCATTGACATTTATTCCAGGCAATATTTGTCGTTTAACACAGCTTAAAGTAAATGTTATTATAATAAATATCTATTTCATCATTTTCATTTTTTCTAAATCTAGCATTTGAATCTAAATTTTAATCAAATAACTAATGTTGTCGTAAATTCGTCTTCATCATGTTTATTTCAACTAGAAACTCTTGATTTAAGTAATAATTTTATTAGTGAAGTTTCTATTCAATGGATTTCTCAATTATCTGCTCTGAAATCAATTAATTTATCAAATAATAATTTAACTTCTATACCAGATAAAATGTTTTATAATATTTCTAATGTAGAACATTTTGATGTATCTTCAAATAGTTTAACAACATTTGAATTATGGTTAATACAAATAAAAAAATTAATTAATTATTCAAATAATCGAGTAACACATTTTACGAATAATTATAATGTTAATCTTGCAAATTATCAATCTGATGTTACTGAACAAATTCTTTTACACAATACTCAAACAAGAATTCAATTTGATGATAGTATTTTTGAAATGTACAATCGATGTGCAGAGATCAGTTCAACAAATAATAGAATTTTGATGAAAGCTATAAAAATAATAAATGAAAATAATACACACTTACTTGATTGGAATTGTTTATGCGACCAATATTATTTATACCAATATATTGTATCAAGTTATCCTACTAATATTTTTTCGACATGGATTTGTAGTGGAGATCAAAGTATCATTTATATTCAAAAATGTAATAATCAATCATCATTCAATGCTACAAATAGCCATCCACGTTTATGTAAACTTAAACCATCCGAAATCGAATCAAATCTGGTGTGTTTTTTTAATCATATTTTTTTTTTTCTCAATACACTTACGAGAGAACGTCCCCAACTGTCAAATCGCTTTTTGATCAAGTATATGCTCAAACAATAGATCTTAATGAGCTATTAAAGACTCTACAAGGATTTGGTTTTTCAGCCTTCTATTGTCAAGTTATGGACCTTTTACTCGATTTTAGCTTATTGTTATAAGATTCTGCTGAGTACCTGAATGATCGAATTTCAAACTGAAATTTTGCCCATTGATAGGTCTTATAAGCACTAGAAACTCCTCTAAGTTTGAACCAGAATGAATAGATCCTTATCGAGATATTCACATTTTAAAGAAACGCTTGTTTTGAGCTGTGTTTCAAAATAGAGACATTTTCATGACAAGCTGATATCTCAATAAGGATGCGTTCGTTCTGACTCAAACTTTGAGGAGTTTCTAGTGCTTATAAAGCCTATCTATGAGCAAACTTTCAGTTTGAAATTCGATCATTTACGTACTAGAAGAATCTTATATCTATAAGCCAAAATCAAGTAAAAGGCCCATAACTCTACAACAAAAGGCTGGAAAACCAAACCATTATAGGGTAGGAGTGGGACATTTCATTTAACGGGACTTAATTAATGACATTAATTAATGTTTTTCATTCACCATTAATATTAATGTTAATGTTTTTCATTAATCATTGATATTAATAGTTAATGTTTTCATTTAAAAACTTAATTCATTAATATTAATGATTAATGAAAAACATTAACATTAATATTAATGATTAATGTTTTCTCATTTAATCACTAATTCATTAATATTAATGATTAATGATTTCTCATTTAATCATTAATTCATTAATATTAATGATTAATGATTGATATGAAGCAAATATATTTTTTTTATTTTGATTTCTTCATGGAAGAAAAGTTAATTTAAGAAATACTGAGGGTAATCTCGATAATTTTTCAGGGCCTCTCTAATGGAAACCATCGTAACTATTCAAGATAGACTTCATTAGCCAATTAAGAAAATAAATTTTAAGAAAAAAATTAACATACGTCATTTTTTTTCATCAATTGGTTTCTCACGAAAAAATATCTTCAGATTTCTATGGTCTACAGAGAAATACCAAATAATGGACCTAGCGTCCCAGAAAGGAAACTCGATCTAATTTTATTATCCGAAGAATCAATAGTCATCCCTGATTATTTCTTACAAGTTTATTTTATATTTTCTCATGATTCATTTTTAATATCTGGGGTCTCCGCAGGGATCGAAAAATATTATTTTTGTCGTCGTTCAATTAGAAGTCTCTATAACTTGGCAGGACTCAGTGGTTTGATTACAAATCCGACAATTTTTTTCTTAAATTAGTTGGATAATAACAAACGTCTATAACACTTTTTGAAAGCGTTAAAAAACGTTTTTCGTCCGGAGGTCCATCCAAATTCAATTTAGGTTCACAAAACTAGACTTACTCGACACAAAAGTCTTTTCTCTATCACAATTTATAAGGAGTTTGAAGACATTCAAACCTTTTCCTACACAATAATTGCCCAATACCGCCCAGATTGAGTCATATTGTCAAAGCTAGTGTTTGTTTAGTCTTTTAAAGTTACAGTTTATACAAGTGCAGCAGTAAGATTTTTCTGTTAAATATGTAATTCTATATGTTCTTTCTAATAAAACTGTTTTAAACTTGAAAATCGATGTCTAGTAAAGCACTTTTGCTCAAATATTACTCATAGAACCCAATTTCTATCATTTTCGTTTCCTATTCGACGCTTTTCGAACAGAACAAACCTGGTTTGACTTCAAACAAATATTATATTTAGAATCAGCATAATGCTCTATGTCTACCTATGTGCATTTGAAATTGTTTCTGCGATCTTGTTTCGATCAAATTTTTGCCCCTGATTCTCCTGCAAGATAAATGAAAAATAAATATGATGAAAACAACTATCGGATTGGTACATAAGTTCTGTAGATTGTTTTGTGTTTCCGGCAAATTTAACGCCTTGCACGTCGTGATTGAAAAGGGATAGAACCCTGAAAATTGTAGTATAATTCGAAGTCAAAGACAGCTAACTACACGAAAAGTTTCAGACTTCTATCACTTCTCAATCATAAGATGGAAGGCCTTAAATTTGTCTAAAACACAAAAAAAGGTGCAGAACTGATGTATCAATAGGATATTTTATGGGTTATTTATTGTTCTTTTGCCTTCAAGCAGGTATTTCACAAGTTTAGGACATTGTTTTGATTGTAGAAATGACTTTTTCAATAAATCAATGTTTCACATATTCAGTCACCACGCGAAGTTTCGAAGATTGGGAGAGGTGTATGACGAATTATGGCATATACATTGGGATTTTCAAGAAAATCTTGCAAAAAAATGCATAAAATATAGTGGAAATGTGCACTTGTTGTTGGGAAAGAACTAAAAACTTCTGTTTATTGAAGGAGACTCGCCTAGACGCTCGCTTACATGGAACCTGCAGATATCTTTTAGAGAATAAAGAGCAAAAAATTAATCTAAAAAAGGATCGTAAAAACAATTTCAAATACGCACAATCTGCGTGTAAAAGTCTTTACACTAGGGGTGAACCATTTTATTTAATGGAACTTAATTATTGACATTAATTAATAATTTCACTTAGCTATTAATATTAAGGGTTAATGTTTTCCTTTAAAAACTTCATTCATTAATAGTAATGATGAATGTTCTCATTAAACATTAATATTAATGAATGAAGTTTTTAAAGGAAAACATTAACATTAATATTAATGAAAGATATTAACATTAATTTAAGATTAATGTTAATGGTCCACCTCTATTATAGTGCCTTTGATAACTCACTAAGATTTATCGTTTGAGCACATGCCCGATCCAAAAACTATTTCACAGTTGGGGACATTCCCTCGTAAGTGATTATGAATATATAAATTTTAATTAAAAGAAAACTAGCAAGACGTATTAATACTCAACTTTTGTTGTTGTTTTCGTACTTTGTTTATGATTTATCTTTTTTTGAGAGACATTCACGAGTGATTAAAGTTTTTTATATTTCTCAAACTACTATGACTTTCTTCTTGTTCATATTCTTATGACTTTAAAAAATATGTACGCATAAAACTAAAATAGAACAAATTTGATTTCTTGTGGACCAGTGTTTTTTTATCTAGATCTAAATACAACATCACTTCTAACAATACTAGAAAATCTAAAATTCTTTAGTCTTTAAACAAAAAATGATAGTTAACATATTTATCTAAGAAATATTCATGAGCAACGAATAACCGATCATTCATTCGTACATATAAAGTATAGTAAACTTATGGAATAGAAGCACTAAAGGCTTTCTTCATTGAAGCTCTTTTTACACATCAGAGAGATACAAAGAATTTTCATTTGTACAGCAATGGTTCAATTTTCCTTAAGTATCTGTCTAAAATAAACTTCAACGAGAGATGTATGGAGTAAGATTTTTTCCGTACCCTTGATCATGGCTAAGAAAAATTTTCTAACCGTTATTCTATCCTATCAGCACATCTTTAATTCCTACAATAATTTGTTCAACTAGATTGACTCAAGACAAAAACTTGCTAAACTATATATATTGATTACATGTTGTCTAATATGCAATAAGTTTCGAATTAATAGACTTGTAGAAATACGAAAAAACTTTTCGATTTATGATCTATTTTAAATCTACATAAAATCATTTATAAGAAAATAACGAAAGAAAAAAACACATGATTATTATTCTTTTGATTAGTATAATTTTTTATCAAATATTAGAAACTTTTTTTGATTTTTTTTTCAGACATTTTTAGACAATGTCTCTGATTTGGAAAGTATTTCATTGGAAATTTACAAAAAAGTATGTCTATAATAAATTTAATCACAAAGGTTTAGAAAGTTGTTTCTTCGATTTTAAGCTATTGACATTTCATCTAGCAGATACAACAATAATCAATGAATTTGTTGCTGTAATCGATTATTCTACTAATAAATTATATCAAACCTCTGATCAACCAATTACTGAAAAAATTCAAAACAATTTTCAAGAAATAATTTATCTTATTGAACGTTATCTTGAATCAATCAATACTACAATAAACATTAGTAAGAATTCAATTGGTATTTTAAGTCGTTTAAAAACTAATCCAATCTATTCTTATTCTCAAATCAATGAAAACAATTCATTTTTATATTATTCAACAGAACCAACTAATGCAAATTCAATAGCAAGTATATCAATTTATCCAACATCAATCGAAAACTTATTAGACACAGATATTTATACATTTTATTATCTTCCATCATTACTTTTTCGTTATGCACAAAAAGATCGAAATATAATTATAGATTCACCTATTACTGGTCTACATTTACCGAATAACGCTTCACGTTTTATTAACATGTCATTTATTGACAATAAACTTTCATCTGGAAAATATTCCTGTGCTTTTTGGCAATATAATCGATGGAATAATACTGGTTGCTCTTATTCTCTAGATTCCAATTTAAATCGTCATCTCTGCTTTTGTAATCATACAACATCATTTGCATTAATATTTATTCCACATAAAACTTTAAAGATTCTCATTATACCATTTATAATTTTTGCTATAATTTCAATAGTATGTTTTTCTATATCATTAATTCTTTCAATGCATCGACAAGCAAAATCTTTTCGTCATCTATCAATAGCAAATATATTTAGTTTATCAAATTCAATTATTTTCTTTATATTAATTACTGTTATTATAATTCGTGCTTATAAATCATCAAAAATAGAATCAATAAATCAAGATAAATGTTCAACATTACCTAAAAATTTAACTATTGCAACTTATTTTTTTTTCATATTAACATTTGCAAGTAAAACTTTACTTGGTATTGGATATTTTTTAACAATACTTTATCATTTTATTTTCATTCAATTTACAGCTATATCGAATAAATGGTTTTATGGAAGTTTTTTGCTTGTTATTTTTATTGCTTTAATACCAATAATAATTATTAGTATAATGATGAATCAATGGACAAATTTATTTATACAATATCAAGGGATATGTTGGTTTCATAAATCATTTATATTTCGATTTATTTCAATACCAATAATTATATTTCTTTCATTAAATATATTAATTTTATTTGGAATAACTGTTCGTTTAATTCAATTTTTTATTGATCGTAAAATGTCACAAACAAATGAAAAACGAATGTTTGTTTCAATAATGATATGGATTACATTATGTATATCATTAGGTATTGCTTGGATATTTGGACCATTTTTAGATTTTATCATCAAAGAGGAAAGTCAAACATCATCAAAAATTATACAATGGATATTTGGTGTTTATAATGGACTCGAAGGTGTATGGATATTGGGTATTAATGTAATGTTTTATTTAAATCAAAAATTGACAAAGAAATATCGTTCAAGAGTTACAAATAAAGCTAAAAATTAATAATTTTAAAAATAAAGAGAGAGAGAAAGGATAATTATTTTGTTGAATTTCTTTTCTTATATTTGAATTTTTTTCAAACTGCATTATTCTGCTTTTTGAGTAGATAAAAAGACAGAAGCATGTTTTTTGATTTGTCTTCTTAAATATCAATGCGATGACACCAATGTATTTGCAACTTTGTAAAACGTTCGTAAAACGGAATCCTGTCGACTGAGGAAAGAGGAACAAATGTCCACATTATACAAAACAAACGAAAGTAGATATAACGGACGATCGGATAGTTTTTAGACAACAAGATGTTTTTTCACTTGCAGCACATTCACAACGAAGCAAAAACTATGAGTTTAGATACTCTTGTAGTAATATAAATTTTGAAATTTTGCGTTTACTTTTATTCGGAAATAGTCAAAGACCTGAAATATTATTTTTAATCGTGAACCAATAGGTTTTTGTTTACCGTATACGTCCTACTTCGAACATACTACAAAATTATTCGAGTTGTCCGTTTTGTAGAGCGAACACGTCTCTACGAAATGTTACATTGAATTAAGCTGTAGTTTCTACTCAATCATTTTTTTCAAGAGCTCTTTTCAACATGAAACGGGTCATCGATTGTTCAAAAAAATGAGTGTTTAAGAAAAACGAAAATTGAATTGCCTTGATGAAAGACACAAAAAAACTTGAAGACTAGCTTCGGTTCTGCAAGCTAATACATAAATAATAATCATAACTTTTAGTTTTAAATCAAAATACGAAAATTTTCCGTTCGGAATAATTTTTTTGGGTTTCTTTTTTTCAAAAATGACCCCATTGCTCTCGAATAGAAACTGAAACAAGATTTTTCAGTTGATATTCGAAAAGAGCATTGACATTCGTATTTTTTATATTCACAAACTCTATGGTCTCGTTTCTTGAGTCGGAAAAAGTAATGCTGATTTTAAAAACAAATATCGTACTTGTTATGTGTTAGAAATATTGAATTTCTGTCCGCCAGTTGTTTTGTGATATTTTGAGTATGATTTTTACGAAACATAATTCTATTGTTTGTCAGCTTTCTATTTATTTGAAAAGGAATTTATGACTTTCTTAGAAGACAAATAAAATGATATTACGATCTAATGGCTAAAAACACAGCTTTGCCGCCCATTGTATATTGATATTTAGATTAGGAAGATGATATTTACTCTAAGATTATTTATGCCAACTTTCGAGTAAAGTCGAGAAATTTTTTTTGAAACGATAATTCTAATAAATTCTTTATTTAGAAACTTTATTATGTATTTTTGTCATGACATTTTATCGAATATTCTATAAATCTGACGAACTCGTTATCATGCAATAATACAATAATGAATACTTCTCTATATTTTAAATTGTTAAATTTGTAACAATAGTCCAAGACGATCAGTACATAATCATTGCGGTTCTTAATAACCATATTTCTATCGGATATAATTCAATTTTTAAAAATTCATTCTATCAGATTAACTATTTCATGAAATAAAAGCATTTACATTAATACGATATTTATCGATACAAAATATTATTTTCAAAACAACAAAGGAATAAAAAGTATTTTGTTTTCATTTATTTAATATATGATTGAAATAATTTATATCTTCAAAATAGTTTTTTACGAAGATATTTTTGAAAAAAAAATAAAGGAAATATAATAAAAACAGTGTTGTATATTTGATGTTGGAAGAGAAATTCAGATTTCTCGATTTCAGAAACTTTTAGTCAAATTATATCCAAAAACTAGTCTTTTCTCAATTGAAATAATCGAATTAGAATAGTATTAGTTGTTGTTAGACTATTCATATCTTTGTTAGATTTATTCGTTGATGAACAAGCAAGCTAATTGATACTAACTATACAGATTAGAATGAGAAAATAGGTGAATTTCTATAGATAAGAATATTTTACACTTGTTAAGAAACATCGCTTAGCGATTATTTGAAGGAAAAAAAGCAACAATGCACGATCACTAGAGACCTGCGGAGTACTCCGAAACCCGATTTCAACTCCGACTCCGTCGGAGTCGGAGTCGGAGTCGGAGTCAGCAAAACGAAATTTTTCGGAGTCGGAGTCGGAGTCGGGTTTTCTGAAAAAATTTTTCGGAGTCAAATTGGAGTCAAAGTCATGACCACGTTTGAATAACTTTTGCTGTTTCAAATAAGAGCAGCTTTACTCTTCAGCTTAACAAACAAAAAAAAGAATGATAACAGTTGCTACATATATTAAGAACGAGTTTCAAGGAAAAAACCTCACATTGATAATCTTTTGGCTGTATCGTTCAAAAGACTGGCTACGTAAAAGCATAATGGCATCAATGAAAACATATTGCAATTTCATCAGCAGTACTACAATTCTCTTGATCACCAATTTTCGATTGCTTGAACATAGTACATATCGAAAACTTGTTAGCGATTGTTTTTTATTTCCACTGAACAACAAATGTACAAGAAATTTCAAATTAATCTATTAATGATTCTTAGATATTCCTTCACTCGTTTGTTCCTTTATCGTTCAGAACTACATTGCTATTACTGGTAGCAAGTAATAGCATATAAGGTTATTAATTATTGTATGTAATTAGAAATAATCTGCGAAAGTAACGGAGGGAAGAAGGTAAAAATGTTATAAAGTAGTATAGTATTAAAACTAGTAACTCATAGAAGCAATATTGTTATTAGTTTATTACTAGCAATAAGGTATATAAAATTATTACCTGTTACCCAGTTGTAGTATAAAAAAATAATACAGTAAAACCTCTAGTAGTGAGCGCCTCTCTATAGTGAAAACCTCGTTATTATTAGTGTTTTTCACGAGTCCGGAAAGACGATTTTTGCTGAAAATGGACCTTCCGAAGGCGAACCTCTGGTTATTAGGAACATTTTTCAATAGTCTCGATCATGCTCACTTTAGAGAGACTTCATGGTAGTAATGTAGCAACCTTATTATTGATTCCCGCATGTTGTAAATTAAACAGTAAAACATATTTGAGATTTCCTTTTGTTAATAAAAAAATTCGGAGTTTCTCGGAGTTTTTCGGAGTTTTTCGGAGTTGGAATCGGAGTCAAAAAATAAAAATTTTCGGAATCGGAGTCGGAGTCGGAGCCGTAAAGAAGAAATTTTTCGGAGTCGGAGTCGGGTTTCGGAATAAAAAAACCTGACTCCGCAGGTCTCTAACGATCACCAATATATGACTGATGATATGTTCTAATTTTATGTTTTTTTTAAACAAATTTTATTTCCGATATTCAATTGATAAGAAACGATACCTTTGATGATGCAGAATGATTATCATTGACAATAAATATGTTCTTTCTTAGCAACATCAAATAAGCAATACGTTGATTTTGTTCTCAACTATTACTTTAACACTATGATTACTGCCAACGATTTCGAGAAAAGCTTCATGAACAAAGTTAAATTTAGTCACCGAGATTGAAGACCAAATATTCATACTGCTGTAGATGACAATACATGCTGAATAGAGTGTATGAATCTATGAAGAGAGATGTCATAGTATCTATACATTGGGTAACAACAAACTACAAGTCAAAATATCCAGAAAAGTAGAAATCCAGATTGATACTCATATATCTTCTGAGTTCAGAATACTGAGTTAAGGGTGTAAAGGTAGTTCTTCTTTTGATACTCTCACCGAAAAATCTACACATCCACATCTACGCATATATCCTACATCCCAATTAATGTTTAAAAGTTAAAGTAAGTCTTGCTTTAACTTTTATTAATATTGAACGAGCATCGGCTAGTAGACGTTGTTTTTTTTCTATGACAATATTTTAATAATTAAACTATACTTTTCATCTGTTTAAAAGAGATTTAAATTTAGAAAAAAAAAACAATTTATTATTTTGTTTTCATCACGATATTGAAAACAATAGCTTGCTATTTCTTATGTTTTGCTCGTGAAATTTACATACAAAAAACCTTAAAAATGACAATAAAAACAAAAAAAAAGAAAAAATTTACATCAATAAAAAAATTCATTTGATATAACAATAACAAAAAAAAAGAAATGAAAGTCTAAACTCCTGTAACATCAGATGAACTACTGTCGGCATCTTTCCGATGAATTAATGCTGATGTCATTTTTAATGATTTGTTTGCATTAGATGTTTCTTGTACATCTTCATCAAGACGTTCCATACCTTTTCGTGGAACAACACTTTTTTTCTGTCGACGATTTCTTTTCAATTTTCGATTATTAGTTTCTACTTGAATATCACTTGTAGTAGATGATGGTGCAGTATGCAGTTGATCTGGTTTAATTGGAAATCGAAATGGTGAAAGAGTTGGTTCTCGTCGAATTTTACCATCATTTGTTGTTGGTGGAGCTTGTTGTTGTATCGTAGTCGAAAGAATTTGTGGTGTAAGAATGGTAGCAGTGGAAACTCTATCTACTAAAGGTTGTTGTGATGGTGTACCATACATATAACAATGTCGCCGTTTTTTCTGAATTTTTTCTACTTGATTTTGACGCCATGCTTGCATATGTTGATCATGACTCATTTGTGTACAGAATGTTGGAGAAGTTAAAATTGACGAAGCTGCTAGTGGATAATCAGCTGTGGATTGATTTGACGTAGGTAAAGGTTGAAATAATGAGGGCACAAATGTTCCTTGTTGTAATCCACGTCGCATTGGATAATCATTTACTTGTTTCTCTTTTGATTTCGTACTACTATCAGATGGTGGATGAATAATAATATCAGGAGAAAGATGAAAACCAAGACTTTGATCACTTAAGGTTGTATGTATAAGAGTTCGTTGTTGTTGATTACTTGATGAGATTACTGTAGGTGTTTGTGATACAGATGAAATGTGAGGTGTATTCATTTGTTCAGCAATAACATCATATAACATGCGTGCACGATTTGCAATATATCGTTCAGCTGGACTTTGTGGATAATCACTAACTACAGATACAGGCACAGATAATACACGATGAGTTGATGGAGGTCGCCGTTCTATTGGTGTTGGTATATCTGATGGTAATGATTCTAAGCTAAAAGAAAAAAAAACAAACAATTAAAATAAGAACAACTATTGTTTAAGTGTAAAATATATTTTCTGTACGATCTTAAAAATCATTAAATTGAAAGTATATGTATGCAAATTAAAACGGAAAAAATTTTCTTTAAATTGTTTTGTTAAAATAAAATGATCTACGTTGTAGCTTTAGAGCAGGAATGTCCATAGCGACGCGACTTTATCGGTGTCAGCGACAGATTTTTTTCTTAGGAAAACTGTAAAGTTGAATGAATTTGCATCTGATATGAGTGTCTACATGTCCAACAGGTCAGAATCATTTTGAATCTGATGGTTTCAATCTAACTGTGCTATTTTATCAGAGAGATAGATGAGATTTTCGAAGAATTTCTTGAAAAACATCGTGATACTGGCCACTTATATAGTTCACTACTTTGCAGCGACATGCTCTCAGTTCTGATGAACACCTATATTTTAAAGTTAAACTGATAAGAAGAAATTTTTTTTTCTTATCGAATGAATATTTTTTTCTAATACAATATGCAAGATGTATAACATAGAATAAACTCACCCTTCAGATGGTCTTACTACCATAGATTCTGTTGTAGGCTTGGTAGTTTCTGGTTCTTCAGTTGTACTAATTGCTGAAAATTGTTGTTCCTCAATAAGAATACTTTTTTGTAAATGTAAATGAGCAAGTCGACTTTGTATTTCTTTTCTTAAATCGAATAAATGATAATTTCTAATAAGCGTGTAAAGTAAATGCCAACGAAAACGTAATCGTTTCCTTCGTATCATTTTTTCATCTTTTTCTGACTTGATTGAAGTATTCACGGTCGAAAGAGCTGTTGGCACTTTAGAGAATGTCGTTGGTTTTGATTTTAAAAGATGAGAATCGTCTTGTTCTTCTTCTTTCTCTTGTTCCCCCTCTTCTTCCGTTTCGGCGTTGGTATCTTCAGATGTTTTTTGCTCTTCCAATGCTTGTTGTTTATTGGAATGACTGGATGACATTTTTAATGATTCCACTTTTGAATAAGAACGATTACTAACACCTGATTGAATTGTATCATTTACTATTACCGAATAATGACTATCATCATCATCATTTGTATCTTGATGAGTATGTTGTATGGGAGAAATACGTGATCGATATAGAGTAAGTGGTGGTGTACTTTGTTGAGCTTCACGATATGAAGTTGTTCGTAAAAGATATAAATCAATTGGACTTGTTGCTAAATTATATGATGGTGGAGAATAGACTGTTGTTGCTTGTACATCAGCACTTTTTTTTTCTTTTAGAACTGTGCTTTTATGAGATTTCTCTATCGGTTTGTTAGCTTGTATATTTTGACTTGTATCAGGCTTTTTTCGTCCTTTACGATTAACGGTTTCATGTGATGTTGAAGTTTTATCTTGTTGATGTTTAGATGATCGCGTAGTACTATTAAAAGTATCATCCGATGATGATTCTTCTTTCATTATTCGATTATCCACTGTACGTTGTTTAGATGGAATGATTATTTTATTAGTATTAGAAGTTTTACTAATACTCGCACTATCATCATCTTCTTTTGCAATGTTTTTCTTTGCTTTATGTGAAATTTTCGTTTTGTTAGAATGTTGTTGTTGTTTCGATGTGCCATCATCATCATCATCATTGTCTTCAATCATCGTTGTTTGTTGTGATGTCTTTTTTCTTGTTTCCGATCGTTGTTTCTTCTTTTCAGCTGCTACTGTTATTTGTTTAGATAGACTACTGTCTTCATCTTCATCTTCGTGAATTTGTGATTTTATTAATTTTTTCTGTTTCTTTTCTTTACTTTTATACTTTGGTTTTGATATACTTTCATCTTCATCTTCGTCTGTTTGATTATCTATATTTATTTTTGATGATTGTGGAATTGATGTTGAACGTGATTTTTTTTGTGAAATATGTTTTATAGTACTAGGAAATGGTTTTTGTTTCAAACTTTCATCATCATCACTTTCATCGTGGTCAAATGGTAGATCTTCACGAATTGGTACTTGAGGAGCAAGACTAGATGACGATTGTTGTTGTGAAATAGATCCAGAAGTACTCGAACCATTACTTTTTTTGTCTTCATTCCTAATATTTGACTGTTGCTGTTGTTGTTGTTTCGTTTTTGTATCAATATTCTTTTGATTTTCTTTAGTAGATATCTAAAAAATATAAATGAAACTTTAAAAAAAAAATGAGACTATTTTAAATCTTTTTCTTACTATTGATGTGCGTTGCGATTCTGTTTTCGGTATTATTTCTGTTATGGAAGGATCTCGTTGCTGTCGTTTTCTTTCTATTTGTGATATTCTTTTCAATATTGTTTCATCAATACTAGAATTAGTATCGACTTGTGCTGATTCATCATTGTTATTTCGCCGTCTGTATGTAACTGGTGGCGAATTTCGTGTTAAATTTGATCTATTTTTTTGTATTTGATTCTTTCCTAGGGCTTCAATATCATCGTCATCATCAAGTTCACCTGGTGCAATACAACATTCATCATCATAACACTTTTTTGGTCGTCGTTGAATGATATCATCATAAAGTGAATAACAAAAAGCTAAGAAAAACAATAAAAATAAAGGGAAATTCTATGTTTATCTTAATTAACTAACCAAGCATTACTGGATTTGTATATGTTACTTCCATATGCAAATACGAAACATAAGCAGCAAAACCAAGGTCTAAAATATGATATAGTAAAAAAAGAGTTATCATACAATAGATATTTTAGAATTTTTCAAACATAAAATATCAATATCAATATCTTTTATCTATTTTGACGAGATTAAAAATGATCTGATTATTAGTTGCTATTAATCTATTACTTGTTGTACACAAAATGTTGATTTATATAAATTTCTCGATTATTCTCTGGAAGATGATAGAGCTATTGAAATGTTTTATTTAATTGACTTCATCTCAACCATAGATATTTAGTCGTGACTGGAAATCTGCTACAATATTTTTCAAAAATTTATTTTTTTTACTATACTAAATTAGCACAGTTAGCTTGGATTCCATCAGATTCACGACGGTTCTAACTGTTGAACTTGTAGACACTCAAATCGCGTACAAATTCGTACAACTTTACAATATCCTTACAAAAAAGAAATTGTCAGTATCGCACCACCATTGACACCTCTAGTCTAAATCGAAAGTTATTTTTTCAAGAAATTTAATTTCCTTGTCGATTTAAATAGTTTTTTCACTCTTTACTAACGAACACCTAATGATTTCCAAATAAAATTCTCTCATGAGATAAATATTAGAAACGAATTATTAAATTTCGTATAGAGAAAAAGACAATATTTTAGAATTCTTCACTCCTTTTTTTGATTGCTATCAATCTCATCTGATCTATTTGTACATTCTATCTTTGCCAATTATAATAATTTCTTTTCTCATATTAGATAAATATCAACAAATCTCTGTCTAACAGAATGTTACTAAATAGCTTACCAAATTTTTCTAATGGTCTTCCCAGAAAACTCCAATCAAGTCGAGCCATAAATACTACATTAAGAAATGTTGCTTTAATCAATCGAATAATACATGAAGCCATACCAAGAAAACAATCTTCAAAAAAAACAAAAACAAACATATATAAATATCTCATTGCAATTTTTATCATTAAAGTATACCAGCAAAAAAACTAAAATAAACAAATATTGCATAAGTTTTACGACTTTTTAAATTTAATTTATTATCTAATTTTTGTATAAATATAAATTTTCCAGCTGATGTCATACTAAGCATTTTTAATAAATAAATAACAAGTATAGGTACAATAATAGCAAGTGCTAATTCAATTTGACGAATTTGTAATGAAAGAATTTTTATTCCAATTAATATTAAAAGTATTAAATGAAAACAAATAACAAAACCCCATGCCATATATCCAACAAGAAAACCAGAATAATGTACAGAATTTGATGCAATTGAACTTCGTTTAAAATTTGTTGCTGGTGGAACATCAACATATATACCTTGATATAATTGTAATTTATGTTTTTTATAATTTTGCATTCCAACAAATAATTGAAATCCGTATATAATTGCCGTTATAATAGCACTTAATATTATTTCACGTTGCAAAGTAAATGAATCATTTAATTCTATATGATTAAAACAAAACTAATTATTGATAAAAAAAAAAAAAAAAAACATGTTTTTCAATAAACATTTAAACTACTTACCAACATTTGCTGAATGTTCAATATAATATCTGATAAATGAAATATGTCCTGTTGTTCTTGAAGTATATAGAAAAAAAAATGTACATGCCAAATAATAAAGAAAAACAAAAGCTACTGAATAAGTACAAGTTGCTATTGTTGTAAAACGAAAATCATCATCCCAATAATAGAAAAAATCAAAAAATTTTTTAATACGTGATTGATTATTTATATTTTGTTGATTTGTTTCATATTGATAATCAATTAGATTATCCATATTTGTATTTTGTTGTGGAAGTATTCGAGATATAGAACGATTACGTCGAAATAATTTTGTAACATAATATTGTGCAAATTCTGATTCATCTGATTGTACGATAGATGCTGACCAAATACTTTTGTTTTTTTTTATTGGCACATATAGAGAATCATATATAAAACGTACACATAATTCAGCACCAATATATGATAGAAAAAAGAAATGTGGAATATTTTTTATTAAACCATAGATAATAAACCATGTGCCAAGTTCCTAAAAATTAATTTAAACAATTTCTTCATTTTATCTTAATAAAAAATATGCTAAATATCAGTAATATTAACTTGATATTAACTATTCAAAAGTTAATATATTTATTATTTAAGATACTTTTCTAAGTAGTCTTGATAAAAGATCATTGCATTCTCATTTATTAAAAATTCTGTAATTGAATACAATTTTCATATTTGACATAAAAGTAATGAAGCAAAGTCTTCAAATCCATTGCATATCAGCTAACATACGTGCTAGAGCTCGAACAACTTGTGTGTACATACTCTACTAAGAATGTACGTTAGAGCGACAGCTGTACTTCGATTGTTTACGTAATAAAGAAAACGATAATAAATGTTACTAAATGGTACCTATTGTTCTTTTGAAATGCATAATTCTGAAAAGGATTCATTAAGCCTTTCTACGAATGTGGCAATTGCTCTGAAGAATAATTATCTACTGCTTCTTGAAAACTATAAATCAGTAATTGTTCAATAAAATAAATTCTAACTTCTGGAGAAACCTCGTCGATAGTTAAATATTATCGTCCAGAAGTCTCAGAAAACGATTTTGTACTAATGGGAAATAACATGCCAAAGATAATCATATTGGTGTAGAAGTCTAAGAGAAATTCGGTAATAGTAATCTTCTAATAAACGAGCTCATCTTTTGAGTAAAGAACGACCATAGATGGATTGAATACTAAAATATCAATTTTTGATATAATTCATCATAACTATCTATGTACTTAAGAATTCCCATAGTTAGATTATCGAAAGTGATTTAATCTAAGTTCGTCTTATCTCCTTTGTTTACGCTGAAAATTTCTCTCGAAGTACATAGGATAAAATCTCAGATGTATTTTTAAGCTTTTTAAGAAATACTTTTGAGATTTTGTCTCATGTATCTCCAGAAAATCATCGCAACCCAATCGGATAAAGTAAGATCAGAATCGTAGGTAGGTTCGATGATTTTTCACAATTCCATCAAAGACCTCTGAAGACCTGCTTTAAAAATTTTTTTCTCGAACATAGATCCCATTGTTTTACGATAATTTAGCTAATAACATAAAACGATACTCGAACCAATTCTGATTTTTACTCAAATATAAATCTCTGAGAAATATTCATTATTTGCGAATATATACAACTTTATGTACTTACTCTTCGAAGTTTTGCTTCTTCCACAACCGTATATTGTCCTGATAATGGTAGAAAACCCATACATGAACCTTCTCGTACAATTGTATATATAATATCACAGAGTATATATAAACAAGAGAAAAAACGAGCAACAATATTTCGTAATTGTAAAGAAGCAAGCACCGGATAATATCGAAGTCTAAATAAATAGAAAGTCAAAAGAACATCATTATTTTTTTCTTAAATCTTATACCCGACAAGAATGACTACAGCTATTCGTTGCAATAATTCAACAAGTACACCTTGATGTGATGGTTCACCAGCGCTAAAAAGTAATTCTTCAAAAATTTTTAATACTTCATATGCAATAATTCCAAAAACAGTTGCTGTTGTAAAACGATTTCCTGTACGAAATGGTTCAATAGGTGATAATAAACCTAAAAAAAAAATCTTACTAACGGAAAAAAAAGTCAAATCTACATTTTACCAGGTCGACCATCACACATATCTTTACATAATCTATCTCGTTTTATTGACCAAGAAAAAATAAATATTAAAGTCAATGCAAAAGGAGAAAATATTAAATTTCCTCGTCGATAATCTGATATACTTTCACATTGTTTAACTAAATGAATTGTATCATTAATTGAGAATTCTCCTTCTTTTTCATCAGTTATATAAAATACAAATGATTTCAAATACATTATTGTTGTTATTAGAAATAAGATTGATAAAAATGATATACTTAAAACACCAACCCAGATACTACGAACAAGATTACGTTTAATTGGATTTAATAATGGATTTGAAGTTCTTGGTAAACTAAAACAAGCCATAATAAAATGTTTCAATATTAAATATTAAATGCAAAAAAGTATCTAAGAAGAGAATTATTAATAGTTCTATAGTTGTAAATTAAGTTAGTAAGGTGCATTTAATTATCTATTGTGATTAGACTTTTTATCTATCAAGATAAATTTAATATTGCATACGTTATGCATCGATAGATTTCTTGTCTAGTATATTCAAACAAAGAAAAATATTGAGTTTTAATCAATTATAACTAACTTACAGAAATTCTATAATTTCTTGAGCAATCGTCGGTCGACGTTCTTGTAGATTATATGTTTCATTGACTTGTTGTAAATGTGCTGCATCAGTAAGTTTTATATCATTATCTGATCTTTAGACATAATTTTTATTTGTTTTAATTATAAATTCCAATGATAATTACCTATCGCTGAGTACGAGGCGTTGTCTATCATCACTGATATCTGTTTTTCTTTGTTCACGTCCTTGACGATATTTTTTACAACATCTATTAGAAAAATCAATATTTTGATTCTACTGAAATTAATTAATATGATTAAATAAACTATCATGCTCAAAAAGGGAATATTGGTTTTTTTTTCAAATGTGTTGATTTGTCTGAATATTTAAGAAAACTTCGGTGAAATAGATTTCGTATATGAGACTTTCACAATTTTGTTTCTTTACTTAGACATGAGATTGCATTCCTTCAAAAACACCACATAGGATTTATCTGATAATGCACTATCATAAATAAAATAAAAACATAAGAAATTTTTTGATTATCTAACTAGAAAGTAGAAGAGCATAATTTCAAAAAAATGATATCATTCATATTTCTATCAGTCATTGTGCAAACCAAAATTCAAAACTTTTCTAAAGCATTTTGAAAAATTTATATTTGATTTCTAAAAGAATGTGACGATCTGAAAATCTTTTTTTAATTTAATAAGAAAACTTACTTAATGCATTTTTTAACAATAAACCATAATGAACCTCGAATTGGTTTGAATGATAAAGCAATCAGAATTAGAATAAAGATAAGACTGATTACAATTTGTCGACCATGTTCTGAGACTAAAAATAATAAACAAAAATTTTTTTTTTTCAATCAAAATATTAGTGATTAATAAGGACTTTTTTTTTGCAATGGCGAAACAATTATTCTCATAAATATTATGATTCACATTATATAGAAAAGTCAGTTTATCGATTACATACTTTTCTCACAAAGAAGACCACCATACAAAAATGAACAGGAACATTTGAAACCTGCTAATGTATTGACACAATGTCCATGTTTACCACAAATAATATTTGCAAAACAAAAATCAAGCACTATATATCACAAAGAAAATAATCTATTTGATTTTTTTTATTATTGAAATTACAAACCATATTCACAAATATGATGATATTCAGTGTTAGATTCAACATCACTTAATGAACAGACAATTTTATCTGATACAATATATGTTGTTAGAATGTAAACAGTTGAACTATCATCTAAAGCATTCCAAGCAACTTGATCGCAAATACCATGAATATCATCAATCTGTTCAAATTCATCACTTTCATCTGATGAATCAAGATCATCATATTCATATTCATCATCATCATCATCATTATTATTACTATTATTAATAATTAAGCCTATATTTATTGTTGTTTCATTTGAAAAACTTATATTGGTTATATTTGATTGTTTATTATTGACTTGATTTTCATCATGAATCAATGGTTGTTGAGATTGTGTTTGTTTAATTTTTTTCGAACGTGTTAATATACGTAAACCAGTTGAACTTAATCGATCAACAATTTTTTGTCTTAAATTTCGATATTTAACACGTACTTCATGAAATTTTGATTTCATTCGATTCCATCGACCTTGATCATTCATCAACACTTCAGCAATTTTTTTACCTTAAAAAGAAATTTTTCATGTTTTTCTTTAGTTTTACTTCAAGAAAAAAAAATATATTACTTACCTTTGAATAAATTTGGATCGATAGAAACCATCAACGATGATAAATCATTTCTTGCTAAAACATGAGCAGCATAGAATAATTCAACAGCATTTCGTATTTGTATAAGATTTGAAAGATTAGAATGAAGATGATTACATGTATGATTTGCAGTAATATATGTCGATGTAAAATTAGGAAGATAATAACATGAGCCACCTAAACGTTTCCATCCTTTTGGACAACGAAATCTATTAACTAAAGAAAAAACATTAGCAAAAAACTCATAACATCTTTTAATATATAATATCAACGTTTTTAGTCCTCAAAGATTAATAATGATGAATAACTATCGATGTTATAATCGTAATAGTTCATTCTCAGAAGAGATACCATTTTTCTTTAGAGAAAATTGATCAAATATGCTTAGGACGATCAATCCGACTGTCGGAAACGGTATCTTACTACGATAGTTTTCATCGTAGTTCTTTAGCCTGTTGTTTCGCTAGCATGCAGTTATTATTTCTTATACTTTTGTACCATTTTGCAAGCTTAAAGAAAAATACCGATGCAAAGATGACAATTATCGCTGCTTTATATTATCTACGATCGTTAACAACACTTTTGTCTTCGGTCTGAATAGTTAACAGAGATGTGCATGTATATTTTTTAGTGATACACTTTTAATTGACATTCAACTAGCTATTTATTCTCATAGATTTATTTCGAGCGAGAATCACCAAAATTGAAAATACCTCGATGAATAACTATTTAATCTCAAGCACTATTTTATAAATATTCATAGCGATTTTAGTATCATTTAGCTGTTATATATTATCACTATTTGTTATTGAGCAAGGAAAGGAAAGATTAGATATACGTGATAGATTAAGAAAAAAGATTATCATGGGATGATTCTTTTATTTGAACCCTAATCGACTCATTCTTGCAGAATCATCCGTAAGACCTCGGAAAATTGCGAAATCTTTAGTAAGTCTCTAGTACATAAGAACTCTTTAGATCAATCTTAACTACAACTTCAACGGCAAAAAACTAATCCAAAAAATATAATTCTAGTTTTTTTTTTTATTGATAACAATTATCTCAACATCTTCATTGGTAGATGTTATTTTAAGAGATAAATTTTATTCTTTTTATTTAGATTAATCTTTGCAACAACTAACATCAACGTAAGAAAATCGGTTCTATTTTTTTTTGTAATTTAGATTGATTTTAATATCGGCTTCAAGGTGAGTAGTATTTAAAAAAAATTGATCTTCTTTTTCATTTAGATTAATCTCAAAAACAACTGTAAAAGTATATATTATCTCAAAGAAAATCAATTATATATGTTTTTTATTTTGTTTGAAAGCAACAATAACTGTAATGGTAAATAGTATTTAGAAAAATGAAATGTAGTTTTTTATTTACATCAATTTCAAGAATAATGGCAATGGTAAATATTATAGTAGAAATCAATTATCCTCTTTTCAGATGAATAGCAACAACAATTACAACGATAGTTTATATATAAAAAAAAATGTATTTCATTTTTTATTTAGGTCTATCTCAAGGACAACTGCAGAAATAAGTCTTATTTAAAGAAAAATAAAATGAGTTTTTATATTTACGAAAAGAAGGATGAAAGAGAAAGTCACTATTTTCTCACTAATGAGTAGCACATGTGAATATTGTAATAAAGACATCATATGTGACCAGTTACAGCTGTTGTAGTTCTCATCTTAGGTTCTTATAGAATTTCTAACGAAATTTGTGTTGAAATTCCCTAGAAATCGTTCGCGTGAATATTGACTAGAAAATCAAGAACTCCTGAAATTAAATATTGCATATTTAAATTCAGTCGGCAGAAGATAACTCTAAAAATGTTTCTAAAATGATGTCTTAATTAGAATTATATGAAATGAAAATACTAAAAGAATAATAAATAAATAAATAAATGTTGAACACATCTTATTTACTGTTATTTTATCATTCAATACAAATGATTACTTTTTCAAGTATTCGGTGACTTTCATGTAGAAATCGTAGACTACTGTTAATCCATGTGCCAAAATAACAATAAATCAATAACTGGTATTCAAGTGTATAGTAATAAAATTTATCAAGAAGAGATTAGATCGCTACACAACAAAAGAATCTAACAGATATCAAATATCTGTAAAAAAAACCGTCAGCCATTACAAAAAACTTTAAATGCATACTATCAAAAATAAGAGCTTGAAAATATAATAAAATAAATAAAGAAAACATTAAAACAACGAAAAGTGAATCAACTACTTAAATCATTTGACAGCTGTATATTTTATTTTAAAAAGTATTCTTTTTGATAAGTTAAAAATCTTCTTGAAAGAAGAAAAAATGAAACAATTCGTAACATAAATAAATTAAATTACGATAAACAACTATGTTAATTGATATGTATTAAAATAGTAGGTATGTTCAGATTTCCAAAAAAGGAAATTATCCTTATTTCTGAAATGTCCATCAACTTGATTATCATATAGCAGTGCAAATCAAAAGTTTTTAGAGATATTAGAAATTTCTGTAATTTCAGAAATTTCTGTAAGTACGTCATTACGGAAATTTCAGAAATTTCGGAAATTACATCATTTTATGAAGTATCGTACAATTCCGAACACAAATGCTTGAAATCTCCGAAACTTTCGAAATTTCCTTTTTTGGAAGTCTGAACACTGCTGCAAAATAGTCGCAAACAATAAGACTTGTCAGAAATGTTGAAATATTTAAGAGAAACAAATAATATTTTTTTTACGGAAAATCGTTCTTTTAGAACCTAGAAATCAACTAAAATATCAAAATCTAAGTTAATCTGTATTATTGAGTGTTAACATGATATCGAAAAAAAAACAATAGTCTCATTCACAGATATGTTAATTTTTATGCTATTCAGCATACAATAGACATCGCAATCTCTTCTACATGACTAGGAATATGATCTCTTGTAATGTATACCTTTATATACATACATACTCAATCATTAATACATAATGAGGTTTAGTTGAATGTAAAGTAAATTTCATAGTCTTTGAAAGATATCAAATATTAGTTTTAGTATGTCCTTCATATTTAAAGCCTTCATTTTTTTTTTATTATAAAAAAAAACAACGTACCAGTCTCTTTAATTTTATCAATAATGGATGGAAATTTATCCCATAGTGTTGTAATATCATCAAATTCAAGATTTTGTATATTGTTTGATAGAGCGCATGTTGTTGGTTGTATGAAAAATTTAATTAACAATAAACATGTCAGAAAAACAACTTTAAACAACATGCGTTCGATAATTATTGTTGATTTTTGTTTTTTGTTTTTTCTTCTTTTTTTTGTAATACCGCAGTTGATTTATGACAAGTAAATAGAGAAGAATTAAAACAATTAATGAATATTTTGACGTTCAAATCAACCTATTTGTATTTGTATATAAAATAAAAAAAAAAACATGAACCTAGATAGTGTTTTACAATTATCGGTGGTTGAGTTTGCTTCTCCGTAATCGTAACAGAATTGTGTCGACAGGATGACCAAAAAAGAAAGAAAAAAAAAAGAAAGAAAGAGAGCAGAAAAGAAAAGAAAAAAAAGAAACGAAAAAAGCTAAAGGCACATCATTAATATTCATATGAACAGAGAACGCAAGAACGATAGACAGAAAGAAAAAAAATAATAGAAAAACTTGAGCATTTGTGCTTCTTATACTTTCAAGAGAAAGAGAATAACACACAATATATGAGCATTTTGACAATCGACACATACCGCTAGTAGTTACAAATTCATCATCTTTTTTCTTTTTTTCCTTCTCTTTCTCTCTTCCTATACATATGCAGGTACATCTGCCCAAAATCATTGCTATTACATGTACAAATGTATATATGTATAAAGATATATGCGCATGCCACTTCATGTTCTTCTGACCGCTTGAGCTATATAGATCAACAGTGTTTGTTTAATAGAAGAATTTGTATGGCACTCGATGAGAAAAAGAAAGAAACGTGAATAAACATAAAGCAGATTAACTTTGTCTGTGAACAATCACTAATCCATCAATAGTACTCAATCAGTAAGTATAACAATTCAACGATATAATAATTATATTTTTCTAATATAGACACATTCATGAACTTATAACGATATATATTAGAATTGAGATCTAATATTATTTAACAAAATTGTCAAAACAAAGTGATAGACACAAAAAAAGAAAGAACTACTGTAATTTAGAATGGCCACTCACAATAGTTTAGCTATTAGCAAAAACACTTTATTATTGACGATCGACTAATGGATAGATGATTTAAAAAATAGTGGTGTAATATATTCAATGTAAACAATGGATAAAACAAGAATAATAAAGAAGAAAATGGTCAAATAATTAGATTAAATCATAGAATTGAAACTATGATGAATAAAATCTTCTATAATGTGAAATTAAGAAAATTCAACGTTAGCAAATCGATAATCATTGTAATAGTTCTATCTCGATTATAAATACCAAGATAATATACCCTATAAGTTCTAATGATTGCAAGATTTAGTATTTTTGACAAATATTTCAGTACGAATAAATCATATGATCTTGATTTTTTTTTCAATGGTAATGAGAAATCCTATTGAATTAGTTTTATGAATTTTTTATAAGGCAAAAGTCAAAATAAAATTGATTATTTTACATATATATCGGCATCAACAAATCATGAAACTTTAAATTACTTTTTTTTTTATATGTGTCATAGAATACCTACTGCTTTTACATCAAAAGATTCTTTAATTTATGCTGGTGAGTTTTTTAGATAACAAAAAGTAAGAGCCTTCGTTATATCTTTATTGTCGATCATAAGAACGAGAAAGAGAAAGCTTTAAAAACCAAAAGATACATCACTCAATGTTTCTAAAGCGTCTTTATCGGTTTTTATATTAGGCAATAACGATATCACCGAGATTTCTACTTTTTGTCATTGAAAAAATTCATTAGTAGCATTCAAAGACCCTACTCATGTTTAAAAAACATAATTAAAGATTTTACTATTTGTTGGTGTCGATATATATGAATCATAGTCAATATTATTTTCATTCTTATTTCTCTCCAAATAATGGGATATCCCATGTAAAAATCAATACAAAATTTAACGATGTTAACGAAAAAAGATGTTACATTTTTGACCGTGAAAACGCATTAAAAATTTGCTTTTAACGAAACTTCACGCATGTTTTCTCGTTAGAAACAGTTTAACGTAAAATAACTCGTGAAGTTTCGTTAAAAGCAAATTTTTAACGCGTTTTCACGGTCAAAATTGTAACATCTTTTTTCGTTAACATCGTTAAATTTTTATCAATTTTTACATGGGATTGTACTAGCACACAGTGCTTCGTTTTTAGCCTTATAAAAAATTATCAAACTAATTCAATGGGATTTCTCATTACTATTCTTGTAGTAAAGTTCATGGCACATCTTTAAAAAAAAGCCAAGACTATACAATTTATCTATGTTGAGATATTTGCAATATATTAGATGTTGCCATTATTATGATTCACCCAGTTGATGATTAGTTGTGTAATAGATTTTGATAATATTTCTGATGGTGAAAAAGAAGTCGCATATGATTTTTAGCACGAAAAGCAAATGTCTATCTATCTGATGTTTTTTTTGTTATCGATGAAGACAAGTCTATAATTGATTTTTATCATTGTGCATTATAATGTTGTTTGAAAATTAATTGCATACGATCATTTTATCCATCTGAAAATGTTATATTGTTAAAAACTTTATATTTGCAACAGATGCTGATCTTTTTCATGAGTAAATTGTAAAGGGTAAACTAAATAGCTATAAATACGCAGAAATACAATCGATACCGGTCATCAGAAATCCAGACTAATTGCATCTCTGCTGCAAGAAAAAAAGGAAATAAAGTTTTCACTCATCAATAAATAAATTTAATTTCTATCATCTTCATAAAATGATGCCAAAATATATGAAAAAAATATCAGAAAAGTTTCTTCTTGATATTAACATATTACCTATGATTTATATTTATTCTTTAAAATAAAACATTTTAATTCGTATGAATGTAATCAATAGAAAGAAATACTTGGATATAAAATCATACAATGGAATGATGTATATTGTAACTCAAGAATATTGAATTTAGCCGCGTCAAATCTAAGGTCTGATTGGTAAACTAATAAAACTTGAAATATGAACTGCTTATGATGAGCATGGATTGAGATTTTTGACTTTCAAAGTGTGTACAACATTTCAACAAACTCATAATTTCAGTACAATTCATTTTTCGTTTTTTCATCATAGTTGGATAGAGCTCGTCGAGTTACGTAAGATAAATTATGTTTCAAATAGAAATAAAGCATTGAAAGAGAAAATTCTACAAGACAACATAATGTATACTGTATATATCTGAAAATTTGTATACTTTAATCCTATGATGTCATAATGAGCTCATATTTTAACCTTTGTTAGCTTGCTGATGAGATGGTTAATTTGATCTGAATATGTTCAATATCCACCGATAACTCAAGTGGTCGATCGCAACATTTTTATTAAGATGAACCGAATCTTAGAGAAAGTTGTACGCTCTGTTTTATAGGAAGGGGAATTACTGAATTGAGACAAAAAACAATAAAACGTTCGAACTCCGCTTGTAAATTCCCTCATTATAGAAATGTAAACCAATGACAACATGTTCAGCATGTTCTCGTTAAATAATTATTGATGGTCTATTCTTGTATACTCTTATTATTTAATACTAATTTACCATCGACTGAGATTCATTAAAAATGAATTCAAATTGTAAATATACAAAAAGTATAAATTGATTATCCCTAGATAATATTGAAATAACTAGCAGATATTTGCTTATAAATCAAAAGTGCATAAGCAATTTTCGTTAAATAAAAGCACATATAATATGTGCTTGCTTCTTAAAACGATTCATTAAAAAGTCATAAGCTGATTCTAACTAAATTCTTAATTTTTTTTCATTAGGGTTTTTTTTATAAAAAAAAAATATATTCAAAAAACAGTCATGAGTATTAAAACGCATACAATAAAAAAAATTAGTTTTACATATCAAAATAAACTTTAAAAATTTCTTGTAATATTCAAGATTCTTCTAGATTAATATTATTATTTTAATTAATAAATTCAATTAAATAATTCTTTTATATGATTGATTAGTCAGATCGAATGGAAAAAAGTACTTTCATGTCGTTTAATTGTTTGTGCTAGGACATAGCACAAGTGGTTTTATTGACATTTTTTTCAGTATTATTATTCTTCATTTTTGAAGAAAGGTTTTTGTTTTAATAATGCATTTTGGTGAAATTCTCTTTTTTCATGATAGTTAGGTGGTAAACCATATAAATAAGAATGTGGTCGATTTTTTTGAAACTTTTTTATTTCATCTTCATACCATACTTGCATATGTTGATCATGAGACATTTGTTTACGAAGTTTTGATAAATTTGTGTTTTTAGAAATTCCTGATGAATACTGATATGTCGATTCAGCTGATGTAGGTGAAAATCCAAGTGATGGTGAATGAGTATTTTCTTGTGGTGATACATTTGTCCTTTTCGATGAAGCTAAACTTTGACTATCAGCAAGAATTAATTGTGAGACCACACGTGAAATATATTGTTCAGCTGGACTTGTTGGACATTCCTCGATGGTAGATAATGATAAGAAACGATTAAATATAGGAGATTGTGATTCACATGTGTTTCCTCTGAAAAACAAATCGATGTCAGATGAAGGAAAAAATTCTAACATAGTTTTTATTTTGTTTTAGATTTCTCCTCAAGGACAACTTATGCAAGAGATTCAAATAATGATTTCGATAATTTTCAGAGTGAACTATAAAAACTGAGATCAGAATAATTATAGAAGCATAGATATTTTAGTTGTAATTTTATGAAATCATTTTTACGCATGGAAACAAAATAAGCATGTTTTTAATACTTAGCCAATGTTTTTTTTTAATATTATTTCACAATAATTGCACATCGTTCAATCTAGGCTCTAACGAAGTACATTTTAGTATAAACTATTCATTCTGATATAAAAATAATGATTAATAAAATTTTGTGTCATATTCAACTTCTAGGTAACTCATAAGAAAGAAAATTAAAAAATGAACGAAATCATTTAATTATTATTTACATAACTATGTTCGATTTTTAATACCTTTTCTCATGGAATTTCGGTAACTTGAAAGCAAATTTTATTAACTAATATTGGGATCAGAAATCCACGAGTCTGGCTCGCGTTGCCTCATGCTCTAGCGTTCGCTGACGCGATATTGTGTAAGGTTGTGTGGAACGCATCCCATGCTATCCCATAGTTTAGGACGTGCAGGGAGAACACTGAAGATACGAATTAATCAAGACGAAATGTGTTCACCGAGTAAAATTTCAAAAATAGTGCGTGACGCAAGTCTGACTCGAGGGTCTTTGATTGGGATGAGTAGTTTATATCAATATGTAGCCCGTTCAATTCAATACTGAATAATTTATAAAAAATAAACGCTTTCAACTATCATTAGATAATGAAAACAAATAGACTAAACACTAAGAACGTGCTAAACTTTTTTTTATCCACTGCATAGTCGTTATTCAATTGTGAAATTATGTTACGATCAAACTAATCTAAAGGAAGACTTTTTTTTTTCAAATCTAATAAATAAATTGTCTTTTGTTAAGAATTTTTCAATGAAATATGACAGTTTACTTTGATCTTTGTGTTACTAATTGTCTAGATTGTGGAACAGTTGTAGATTCTATATTTTCATCAGTAGTTGTTGATCTGGATATTTGTTCATCGATTGGTTGATTTTGTTGTGAATATGAAAAATTTTTTAATAATTGTCTCAAATCAAATAAATGATAATTATGAATAATTGTATAAGCACGAAACCATCGAATACGTGCAATTTGACTTTTTCTTTTCTTGTCTTCTTCAATTGTATTACTTTGTTTTATTTGTATTCGTTCTGATAATTGCCTATTTGAATGATTGCATATTAATGGAATTGATTCTTTAGGTGAATGAGAACAACTTGAAATCTCTGTTTGAATTCTATTATTTGTTGTTTCAATATCATAATTATCGTCATTATTTCTATTACTCTCATGGTTTTTTGAAAAGGAACTCTTGGGTCGTTTTGGCACATGTTCTAATGAACGCTGTTGAGCTGCATTATTTGAGTTCGTTCGTAAATATGCTAAAGAATTTGTACATGATCGTTGAGAATTTGATGATAATGGATTGATAGTGGTTGCACAAATAGTAGCATCTTTTGCTTCTGTTAGAACTGTGTCTTGATGATATTTTTCTGTAGATTTTCTAGAATTTGTATTTTGAGTAGTGTTAGATATTTTCGGTGCTAATCGATCATTAGTATTAAATGGAATTGAAGTTGTATCTTGCTGATGTTTAAATGATCGGTTAATATTAACAAGAGTATCATTGATTGGTAAATCTTCTTCTACTATCTGATTATCTAGTATAGATTGTTTAAATGAAAGAATTATTTTAATAGTATTAAAAAATTTTACCTGTATCTTCATTATCATCATTTTCTTCTACAATGCTTGAATCTGAGATATCTACCATTGTTTGTTTCGAAATTTTCTTTTTGTTAGATTTTTGTTGTAGAAGACTTTTTTCAGTAGTAGAAAATGGTTTCAATGTCAAATTCTCAGATTGATCTTGTTTAGATCGACGAGATTCATTATTTAATATTTTAGTTCTATTAGTAGATGATTTTGATAATTGTGCTTGTTTTTGAAAAGTAGATGATATTATTAATGGTTTTAAAGAACTATCATCCTTATCTATATGGATTTCATCATTTAATGTAGGAAATTTTTGTGATTTTCGTTTTCTACTATCAATTGTTTTACTAGTTTCATTAGATGTCTAAGAAACAAAGAACAATTACAATTAGTTATTTTTGTTTTTTTTTACTGTAGATATATTTTGTAATTTTGTTCTTGAATTTATATTCTCTATTGAAGAACATAATTGATCATTCGTTGTATTATGATTAATATTTTGAATTGATGTATCGTATTGATTTTCTCTTTTTTTTCTAGATCCATTTTCATCGTGAGAATGATTGACGTTGTTAGAACGTTTTTTCTTAATTTCATTCCAAAGTATATCACAAAAAACTAAATAAATTAAAATAAAAAATAATTTTGTTCTATTTATTTTATTTTTTTGAGATAAACTAACCGAGCACGAGTGCATTTGAATACTGTTTTTCAACATATAAATATGAGACATAAGCATCAAAGCCAACATCTAAAAATATGACATAAGAAAGTAGAAAGATTAATTGGATCAAATATTATCTAATATATCTATTTCAAACAAAACTTATTTATTTTTCCAAAAAAAAAAAAAGAAAAGAAAAAATCTCAATGGAAGATCAGTTTGTTTTTTAATGATTGATCCTATTATATTACATGTATTAATTCTCTATGATTTCATTGAATTTTATTTAAAACTTTCTATTACAGAAAATTTTGAAAATTGTTTTGTTTTTCTTTTGTTATAATTATTATGAAGTTCTTCTATGCAGATATATTAAATAGAACTTATCTAACAATTATCATATTGCTACATGTAAAAGCTATGTATATCTGTTATTAAGACGTTTTTTACCTATAAAAGATATTTTACATTTAAATATCAAAGTAAGCAAAGTAAATTTTGGAATATTTACAAAAAAAATATGGACATTTGTGATTAACTTACAAGGGAACATTCTCAAGCGACAGATCACTTTTGAGCTTGAACTTAATGGATTTTGTATATTTTAGTAAACCATGTTTAAAATAAGAAGAGTTAGTTCATGCTTATGATTTGTTTTTTGAGGAAATCGAATGCTTTTACCGTTGGAACTATAAGAGTTAACTTATCAGGGAACAATCACTATCTTAATCAATGCAAGTTGAAACAAGTTGACATTTTTTTCTATATATATTGACATACTCATATAGAAGATAATGTGACAGGATGAGAACAAAAATTGGAATCTGATATCTGTCACAATGTTTAGATTTTAAGTTAATTATAAAATAATGTCTTTCATATACGAATGATGAAAAGAATGTTAAAATAAGCTTGACATGTAAGTGAAAGCAACTGTTGTAAATCCTCCACATTCATCTGCTGCAGTTACTGCTGGTACAAGGTTTTTTTATTTGTCAGTATCGTTTCTTCGATTAGCACTATCATACTAGTCTATATGGCTTAGTCTGATGGTACTTGTTTTGTGAGATACAAAGAAGTTCCATTTTTTTTTCTAGACATCTAATTGTAAAACATTTTTTTTTTCTAAGTAAAAAATCAAGATAATCATGAGCAATAATGAAACCAGCCTGAATTTTTCAAGACTAGTACCAATCTAAGAGAATCGGACCGATCAGTAACTAGTACCGGTTCCATCCTTGAACATGAATGTTCATAGTATTTACCATTAGTCTAATTGTATCGATATATAGCTTCAAATTAAATGGAAAATATTTCTCTCTACAATATAGTATAATTGAACATATATTACCGAATTTCTCCAATGGTCGTCCAAGAAAGCTATAATCAATTCGAGCCATAAATGCTACATTAAGAAATGTTGCTTTAAGCAATCGAATAATACATGATGCTATGCCAAGAAAACAATCTTCAGAAAAAAAGCAAAAATATATAAATATTTCATTAGATTTTTATCTTTATAGTTTACCAGCAAAAAAACTGAAGTAAACAAATATTGCATAGGTTTTGGGATTTTTCATATCATCTATGTCTTTAGAGTGTTTTGTAAATATAATTTTTCCTATTGATGTCATCATAAGCATTTTTAATAAATAAATAACTAATATAGGTACAATAATACCAAGTCCTAATTCAACTGGATGACTTTGTAATGAAATAATTCGTATTCCAATGAGGATTAAAAATATGAAATGAAAACAAATAACAAAACCCCATGCCATATATCCAACAAGAAAACCAGCATAATGTACAGAATGCGATACCATAGAATCCCATGAAATATTTCTTGGTAATGGAATATCCATAGACATACCTTTATATAAATCTTGTTTATGTTTTTTATAATATTGCATTCCAATGAGTAATTGAAATCCGTATATAATTGCCGTTAAAATAGCACTTGATATTATTTCATATTTTAAAGTAAATGAATCATTTAATTCTATAGGATTAAAACAAAACTAATTATTGAAAAAAAAGAAACATGTTTTTCAATAAACATTTAAACTACTTACCAACATTTGCTGAATGTTCAATATAAGATCTTATCAATGAAATAAGTCCGCTTGCTCGTGAAAGATATAAAAAAATAAATGTACATGTTATATAATAAAGAAAAACGAAAGCTACTGTATAAGTACAAGTGGCTATTGTTGTAAAATGAAAATCATCATCCCAATGATAGAAATAATTAAAACATTTTTTAATACATGATTGATTATTTATATTTTGTTGTTTTGATTGATATTCATGAGCAGTTTGATTATTAATATTTGTAGTTTTTTTAGTATTTGTTCGATATGCAGGACAATTACGTCGAAGTAATTTTGTAACATAATATTGTGCAAATTTCAATTCATCAAATTCCAAATCAGGTGTTAACAAAATATTTTTCTTGTTTTTTATTGGTACATATATTGAATCATATACGAAACGCACACATAATTCAGCACCAATATATGATAGAAAAAAGAAATGTGGAATATTTTTTATTAAACCATAGATAATAAACCATGTACCAAGTTCCTAAAATAGTGTTCTTTTTTTCGTTAACTAATAACTTTAAACTATTGTAAAAGATATGCAACTATAGAACAATGAAGTGGAATAAAGTTGATTTCTTGTCGATCGATATCGCTTACGAGAGAATCTCTTCAGCTATCTCCATCCAATTTTAATAATTTTTTGCTTCTAGATATTAGATAGTGGCCTAATAAAAATTCTATATGGATTTCGATTCCTATTTATATTTGACTAAGTGATTGATTTTTTAATGTTCATTTTCTGGATCCTATATTGTTCGAAAAACTCGTATTTTTGAATTTTAATCTGAAACTTTGCACATATAGAGAACGCAATTTCACTGAATTCCATACAAAAAAAATCCAGAGATTTTGAACAGTCTCTTCGAGAGATGAAACTTTTAAGATATAGATCGTTTTACATGGATAATTTAAACAAAATGCATTTTTTGAAAAGTTCATATCTCGAAGATAATTTGTTCAATACTTCTGAATTTGTTTATAAAAGCTATTCTAGTTGAAATCTGGAGTCTCTTGAAAATAGATATATTAAACATTTGATAGCTTAGTCCAGTATCAATAGGAGCGAGTTTTCATTAGAACACTATGTAGTATCTATAGACAAAAAAATTATTAAATAATGAAAAGGATCAGTTGAACAGGTTGTCTCTACACTACAAGCAGTTCTAACAAAATGATTTATTCATGAGTTTGAATTTTTCCTGAATCAGAATTAAAAAAAAAGGAATCACCTATATAGTTTCAAAAATTTATTTATTTACTTCTATGAATGCATAAATTTATTTTTCGACAGGAACTCTATTTCATAGATCTTTCATTTCAATACATTGAAAACTTCTTAGAGATTTTTACAATGTTTTCATGAAAAACAATTTTTGTTTTTCTTTGATAATTATATACAAAATAAATAATTTTTCTTGTTTGTAAGAAAATATTAATCTACATACCACGCGAAGTTTTGCTTCTTCGACAACTGCATGTTTTTTTGTTAATTGTAGAAAACCCATACATGAACCTTCTCGTACAATTGTATATAAAATCTCACAGAGTATATATAGACAAGCAAAAAATCGAACAAAAACATTTCGTAATTGTAGAGAAGCAAGAACTGGATAATAACGAAGTCTAAACAATTCAAGAAAAAAGTAAATAAGAATTTTCACTCTCTTCTAAACAAATATATACCCGAGAGCAACAATAATGCCTATTCTTATAAGTACTTCAAAAAGTACACCATGATTAAGTGTTTGATTTAAACCAAAAAGTAGTCCTTCAAAAATTTTTAATACACCATAAGCAATAATTCCAAAAACAGTTGCTGTTGTAAAACGATTTTCTATACGAAATGGCTCAATTGGTGATAATAAGCCTAAAGAAAAATTTCAGCGACTTGAGAAATAAAAAGTCAAGTCTATGTTTTACCAGGTCGATCACCACATTTATTTAACCATTTTTTTTCTCGTTTAATTAACGATTTTTTTTCTCGTTTAATAAACCATGAAAAAATAAATATTAAAAAAAATGCAAAAGGAAAGAATTTTTTATTTTCGTTCAAATAATCTAATGTTTCTTCACATTGTCTTACTAAATGGATTGTATTAGTAAGTGAATAATTGTATGTTTTATCATTAATTCTATCAATTTCATATAATTTATAATATTTTATTGGTATTACAATTATTAAGATTGATAAAAAACATGTACTTAAAAGACCAACCCAAATATTACGAACAAGGTCACGTTTAATTGGACTTAATAATTTACGTGGAGGTCTTGAAAAATGAAAAATTTGATTTACAGATATGTTTAAAAACAAAAACTAATATGAAATGAAATGAATTATTTGTGATCGGACAATTCTTCGCAGATATGTATGAGAGTCGGTGTGAATGAAGATCTATCGTGTATTCTAATCAAGATACTCACATCCATATTTAATCTGACTCAAACACTTTCAATGCTCGTTTAGGATGCTTTGAGACTGATGCGTCAGGCGACTAGTGCTTGTCAGGCTAGTTTCGGATTCGACTAGATTCGAGGCAGCTATATAATACCGATTAGAAAACTTCATTGACAATATCAAAGTACGTTTCAATTAGCGAAGATTCAGATACGAAAAAAGTTTGATCAACCGGACGTGAGTCTTAATTCAGAATTTTTGATCCAATGTGCTCTACACATGACCAACGTTTCTGCGATGAATTATCCTAACACTGAATCATTTTTCAAAAACAAAGTTACCTGAGTTTTTTTAATATGGCGGCGCTAAGTCGTGGTTTATTAGTTGTCTCAATTACTGATAATTGATTCCTGTTGCCATTATTGATTTTTTCTATTCTATAAAAATAAGCTATAATTCTTTGTGATGAGTTATGAAGCTGATATTTACGTTGTTGTGCATTTGAAACATTGTTCAAAGTAATTACTTCTTGCTTGTTCCGTATTTTCGCCTTCTGATTGTGATGATTTTGAGGGTTTGTCACGATTTCTATTATAGAAAAAAAATTAGATTTGATACATCAAGAAAACTACAAAAAAATTATTCTTAGCTTTTTGTAGATTGCTCATTTGTTTTTTTCTAGATTTTGAAAACTTTAGTGATTGTATATGTTCAATTTTACATGAAAATTTCTTAATCCGAAAGTTGATTCTCTACCTATGCAACTTTCTAAACACAAATGCTACTTTCTCAGCAGCGTATATACAAAGTATCATAACTATATTCTCATTAATCTCATTGTTTTGTATAAGTATGCAAATAGTTTCCTAAAAACGATGCCATAAATGTTGATAATTGTTTATAAAAAGATCTCCACAATTTAGTAGTTATTGTTTTGTTATTAATATACAACCATGTAACAGTGCTTTTTTAAATCAAAACCACTAGTCATGTTATTACTTTAACGATAAATGGAATTTGCTTTTTAAGTTAGTCAGAAAATTTTGTGTGATAAATAATTTACCGTAAAAAGTATTTAGTCGGTATGAGTATGATTCCATATAGAATAATAATAAGAACAACACTGATAAGAATTTGTTGACCTTCTTTTGATACTAAAAAGATAAATCAAATTATTTGTCGATAATTTATTCCTGTTCATTAATTGTTATTTTTCATAATATTCGATCAAGTCATCAGACAAATATCGAGAAAAAGAATTTTTCTATTCACTTTATAGATCCAAAAGTAAACGCTATTTATTTTAATAGTAAAAACAAGACTTTAAAACACACTATCCTCTTTTTTTTCATTAGAACAGATTACCTGATGATTAAGAAATTAATTATAATAAATTAAAACTCTTCATACAATAGAAAACTGTAACTCTTCTACTATATCTAACAATGTCAAATTTCTAGCGGTGGTATTCTATGTGAGACGCTTTATTTTCTTAGTTAAAAACACTTTTCAGTACTAAAATGATTTTTTGAAGATTGGGGAAGAGGTTTCTTTTTACGTTTTTCAAATCCTGGAAATAACGCTAATTTTAATCTTTTAAGATTTTCAGCTTAAAAGTCTGAATATTAGTCATATTTTGATGTAAATATACTAGTTAAAGTTCCAATTTTGCTACATATTAACTAATTACGAGGAGCCCTTATCACATCCAGCGTACAGTTCTTCAAAGGAAGTTTTTTGCTATTGATAATTTTTTTTATTGATAAATGAGATGCAAATGGATTAAACTCATAGAACTAAATCAATCCTATCGATATTCAAATCTATTATTGTCACAATCTTGATATAATCTTGCATTAAAAACCTATTCAAGTAACATTCGATTAATATAGGTTGATAAATAGTGCAAAAAAATTTTTCAAAAATTGAACAGTAGATTTTTTAACTATACGTTCTCCCATGTTAGATTATTTATTAATAAAAGAACAGCTCAATTAGACTTCTATGACTTTAATAAAAATAAAACAAAATACTAATAAAACATTTTCAAGAAAAATAAATTTTTCTGTTTTTACATACGTTTCTCACAAAAAAGACCACCATACAAAAATGAACAGGAACATTTGAAACCTGCTAACGTATTGACACAATATCCATGTTTACCACAAATAATATTTGCAAAACAAGAATCAAGCACTATATATTACAAAGAAAATAATCTATTTGATTTTTTTATTATTGAAATTACAAACCATATTCACAAATATGATGATATTCAGTGTTAGATTCAACATCACTTAATGAACAGACAATTTTATCTGATATTATATACGTTGTTAGGATATAAACAGTTGAACTATCATTTAAAGCATTCCAAGCGATTTGATTGCAAATACCATGAATATCATCAATCTGTTCAAATTCATCACTTTCATCTGATGAATTAAGATCATCATATTCATATTCATTATCATTATCATTGATCATTAAACTAGTATTTATTGCTGTTTCATGTTGTGTATATTGTTCAGATGATTGTTTTATTTTTTTCGAGCGTCTCAACATATATAAACCAACCAATTTTAATCGTTCGACAACTTTGGTTGTTAAATTAAGATATTTGATACGCATTTTATGAGCTTTTTCTTTTGTTCGTTTCCATCGTTCTTGATCATTTGTTAACATTTCTGTGAGATTTTTTCCTAAACAAAAAAAAATTTTTTTCTTTTTGTTTTAACCTCATTCGTAGAAAAATATTTTTCTTACCTTTAAGAAATTTTGGATCAATAGACAACATTAATGATGACAAATTATTTCTCGTTAAAACATGAGCAGCATAAACTAGTTCAACGACATTTCGTATTTGTAAAAGATTTGAAAGATTAGAATGAAGATGATTACATGTATAATTTGCAGTAATAGATGTCGATGTGAAACTAGGAAAATAATAACATGAACCACCTAGACGTTTCCATCCTTTTGGACAACGAAATCGATTAACTAAAAAATAAATTTAAAAGATAATCGAATAACTTATCTCTATTATAATTAGGTAGTTTCCAGTGGAGAAAATCAATCTTTACTATAGTTTTATAATTCTAGGGTTACATTTCGAAAGTGTTACTCTGGTTTTATTTTACAGAAAAAAAATCAGTCAATAAATAGAGAACCTCAAAAATATGCATCAAAGAAAATTGATCAATAACGAATGGTCATCAATGAATGACGATCACAATATTGCTTTCATATCCATAGTTACGAACTCAATATTTTTCCAAAAGATTCAGCATTTAGTTCTCTATAAAAATCACATACTGTAGAATTCGATAGAAGTAGAAGTTAACAAAAAAAAAAGTCATGACTCAGTAGTGAAGATATGAAATATCAACAATTTTCAATGTATTTTTTCTTAAATTAATTCAGTTTGTATTTAATTGCTCAGTATAGATTTTATTACATGCACAGTAGTTTTTGCTTAGTAAAAACTTTTCTTTAGCATACTAAATAGTTTGAAAACTCAGTAACTAATTTACAACAACTCAATTTTTAAGAATCTAGATGACGATCATCCTAACAGCAGCACCTATATCCAAAATTTCACCCGCACTCGACACTTAGAGCCACGCTCACAGTGACACTCTGCCAGAAGCGTAGCCAAAAATTTTCTAAGGAGGTACTCGACTTGTTATAGGGGTACACGGAATCAGGAAAATGATTTTTTTGCCTCACGAATAGACTTCTTTTCCATACCGCCTCTATCCATCTTTTAGTCAAGGGAAGTGCATAGGTATCCTCTGTACCTTTTTAGTGTAGGTCCCTGCATTGCATATACCATGGTTATAGTCTATATCCTCATACTTACATCTCATACTAATACCCACTCCCTACCTTTGCACTTTACACTCATGTCACACTTTATAGCTACAGCCTTATACTGATAATTTGATTTATTTCCTGTTGATTTGCACATATTATTGAACAATAAATTATATTGAGCATTTAATTTGTTTCCAATTAATTTTTCTTTTTTTTTTCTACGAGTGAAACACTACTTGACAGCTTCCAAGTAGCAATACTGTTATAGAAGCAGGAGCATCGAATGTTGTGAGTAGTACTATGTATTTGACATAGTTGAGTTTGACATGTGAACTTAGTCAATACGAAATGTTATTTATTTAGAATAAAATTTAAACTTTACAATGTCATTCAATAGAATTTGTATCAATAAAACTTTCCTGCTGAAAAATCACAGCCTTTCTTTCCTTAAGGGTTGTCTTTTGAAACTTTGTTTACTCCAAAAAAAGAAAGAACTTCTAAAATTTAACTAAATCAGTAACTTTTATTAGTCTAAAGCACAACAAAAATGCGTGAACATAAAAAGCGAGACTTTACAATTCAAAGTTCTTGATAAGAATTGTATCGTCAACCGTTTGGGAAAAATTTAGCTCGAAACTATGAAAGTGAACAGAAATAACAGATGGCAGGAACCTTTCTAGAAAGTATATTCCTTCATTTTTCAACTGATTGCAAGAGTCAGTAGAACACTTTAAGCATTAGGTTATAATGGAAAATTTGTGCTCTTTTCGAATATATATGAATAATTTATTTGAGAATCATAGGTTAAGAATCATGAGCGACTTTTTTCTAGGATTGAAAATAAAGTTTGAACAAAAGCTATTAAACTAAGAGATTTAGAAACAATAAATTTGATCTTACTCCCTTTGAAATTGAACATGTACTATTTTTCTCGACACTTTCTTATTTTCGTTGTAAAAACATCCAATTTAGCTTATTCCTATTGTCTTTTCCTTGACTGCATCATGTTTTGAATTTTTATGAGTCAGCATCCAATAGTGATATCTATAGTAACGCGGCTCGGTAGTATCTTTTTTTAGGGAGATTGTTAAATTGCATGAATTTGAACTAAGAACCAAAAGTCTCACAATAACCCTTCAGAAATAATAATCAAATTCATTTTGTAAGTCTTGTACTTAAGAAGTTCCGAAGACGTCAACGTGTTTTTTTATTTAAAGTGTTATTATTGGTAGAAGTATTATAGATAACTAATCATTAGGATATCAGTTTGTTCCGACATGTTAACCCATTCTTTTAGTGTATCGGTAAATAATTTTACTTCTATTTTAAATGGCTTTATAACCCATTGACACTTGTTCAAACTTCATTTTCAAGACTTTCAACGAGTCACATATAATTGCTAACCTATGAGTCTCATACGAATCGCGAACATATGTTCGAAACAGCGATAAACTTCGAATTCTCACTTAATGGTTTAAACTACTTGCTGATTTTTCATAGCTGGTCAATAAATGAAAGAACATGTTGCCTAGAAACTTGCACATCATTCGTTATTAAAGATATATTGAAATGATCATCTATTCGAGAGTAGTCATTAGATCAAATTATTCCTTATATGAAAACATGATTTTTAACAACAAGCATTTTTATGTATACAATAATAATTTCGGTAAATACATTTTAATTAAATCTTATCGTAGGCAAAAAAAATTTTAATGAAAAATATCTACGGTTTCATTCCATGTGTAAAACATATTCTTTATTCAAATAGACTTGTAAAATTTTATGTCTTATATACAGTGGCTACCAAAATTATTCAATCATCTGATCTTAAAATTTTTATCAACCTACATCTCATGAATGAAGAAAGCTACAGGGCTCAGATTTTCTCTAACTTGTAGTCTATAGTCTCTAACATAAAACTGCCGAGAAATCTTTGACAAACGGACAGTAAAAAAAACGAAAAGTTCATTTCGAGAAAAGTATTTAAAAAGTTTTCAGTCTCAAAAATCCGATATTTTTTTTTCTTCATAAAACATATAGGCAAACCATTTGGAGGACATTCCAAGGTATGTGGACCATATTTGACGGCACATGTTAGTCCTATTTTTTCTTGTCACAATCCAATAGAAGTGCTTCAAGTATTTGAATAATATGAGTTTTCAAATTAAAATTTTCATTAAAAAAATTTTCGAAGAACTTTCTGTTAGATCTTCTGTAAAATCCTCACAAACTATAATAATATCGATAAATCATAGAGCATTCGAGAATAAAAATTTTAGGCTATTGAACCTTATATAAAGCTTAAAAATCAATATTTTTGACAAAAATGAGATTTTCTGAGTGGGAAAAGGAAACCTCAGATTCTCGCCGAGAAAAAAAGGTAGCTATACTCTTCTTGACTATCTATTCTTGAATCGTATCTACACAGCATACCAGTCTCTTCGATTTTGTCAATAATAGATGGGTATTGATTCCATAGTGATGCAGTATCAGTAAGCTCGAGATTTTGGATATCCGTCGATTGAGCACATTTTGTTGGTTGTATAAAAATTATTGTCAAAAGCAAATATGTTGTTGAAAAAACAATCACTGACATGTTTCAGACAATTATTGTATTGTTTTGTAGTAGATGATTAAGATATGCAGACTGACGGTAGAAATGTAATCGAATTACTATTTTTTACTTCAAAGTTGCGGAGGAGTACTTGTGCACAACATACAGAAGGAAAGAAAGAACACAAAAGTAAAAAAGAAAGTACAAGAGGATCGATAGGCACTTTTGAATTATATTGATGCGGTGACTTTTTCTTATGCATCGAATTTCTCTTTTCTCTTTATACACAATTTTATTATGAAATTTCTTTGGGTATTTTTAGAAGAGGGAATCTTCAAGTTGTTAAATATTTACGCTTTCAGTTTTTATTAAAAAATATGTCGAATGCTCCGTCTTAATGTATTCAATAGAAAATAAGAAAAAAAAACATTAAATAATTAAATTCGACGATAATTGTTATAATATGGTAAATAATAAATTTGTTGACGACGAATATAAAATGCACTAACTGAAACGATAATAATAAATACAAGTGAAGCGATAATAATTCCAGCAATTGATCCTGGACTAAATGTATCAGGATAATATGGACGAAAAGTTGTACTACTACTACTATGTATTGATGATGTCTTTGTTGTAGACAAATTAGTTGATTCGGATATTGAAACAGTAGATAAATTCAATATTGACGATGAAGGAATATCAAATAACGGAAATTTATTAAAATTAATACATAAGACTATACCTGAATATAAAAATAATAATAAATCTTGTTTTTACTTAAAATTTGAATATTAAAATATGTTCTATATTGAATATTCTCGAACAAAATAATCTTTAGATAAATTCCTTATATATGTCTCTTCCTAGATTAATAACATTTGTATACAATAATTAAATATTCTTAAAGATAAAACATTAAGTGATATATTAGACGACACATTAAACTCCAATATTTGCTATTTGGCTGTTTTCTATTCGCTACTATTCAATAAAATCATAAAGTTAATTTTTGATGAGTCAATTTTACTTCAAGGATTATTCTTGTTTTTCATACTCTGAAAAAGATAAAGAAGGTTTACAGAACCTTTTAAGCCTCTAAAAGATTTGGTGTTTTACCCGATAGCAGAACCCCTGAAAAAAGTTTGTGGACAAGAACAAATAGTTCTGAAAACCGCATCGAAACCTTTTTGTTCTTGACAAGAATCCTTTTTCGGTGATTCTACTATCGGGTAAAATACAGAACCTTTTAGAGGCCAAAAAGATTCTGCAAATCTCCTTTATTTTTTTCAGAATATAGCATAATAGAAATTCTATCTTATATTGATTGAAAAAAATTTTCTCAGGTAAGATAATTAATATCATTACTTACTGTTCATCAAACATATAAATATGACTGAAAATAAATGCATTTTTGTTTTATTTTGATTGTAGAAAAACAAAAGCAATAACAACTTTTCATATTGTTATCTTTTATCAAACTGATAAAAGATTGACTCATCAAAGAGTAAGAAACTATCTTTCTTTTGCTTGTTGTGATTCAAAGCTTTGAATGAATCTTCATTATTAGATTAAATAAATAAATACTTCTAATAAACTTCTGTTAATGTATTTTTTTTTCTTGAAACCGAACTCAGAGAGAGACACAGACAAGAGTTTCTTTGTTTTCTTGTTTAACGAAACAGACAAAAAAAAACCGAACGAAAAAATGAAATGAATATGGAAATCTAATGGGAGAAAAAAAGGAACAAGGGAAATAAATGAAATAGAGACACAGAAAACAAGCAAATGAAAAATGAAAAGTAAATGAATAAGGAAAAGTCAAAAAAAAAACAGAAGAAACAAAATATATCAACAATGACCACAAATGAAGAGAAAAAAAGAGAGAAGCAAAATTAATGAAGGGGCAAAAAAAGTAAAGGAATAAAGCGGTGAATAGGATGCACGAATACTGAAGCATGAAAGAGATAAAGCCAATAGGATATAGAGACAAAGATGACTGTTCGATGGTTATTTTTTATTAACAGCTGCTCCAAGTGATGGAAATTCTTCAGTTGAAGCTAAATTTGGTTGTTCTTTTTTCGATGGTCGTTGATTAAAACCACTAACAATAGTAACAGATGAGTTATTACGTAATTGAGGTGGTCGATAAGCTCCCGATGTAGTTGTTGTTGCAGGTTTCGATGGTAATTCAACAACTTTATCTACTTTTGAATCAACTGTTTCATTGATTGGTATTGGTTCAGTTTGTTTAACTTGATCTAATTTCCAAACAGGCTTATCTTTTTGTTGTTCACGACGTCGATTATTATTACGTGATGATTGTTCATCATTATCACCACCAGTATTATTTATATTTTCATCAGTATTTAAATCATGATTATTTGTGTTATGACCATCACCATAATAATCATCATCTTCATCTTCATCTCCATTATTATGATCATTTGTACCACGTACAAATTTTAAACGTAATTGATCATATTTTGGATTTGAATTTTCAAATTCTTCCCATTCATCTTGTTGTCCAATACCAGTTTGTTGTTCATTAATATTATTATGATTATCTTGTACAGTTAATTTTGTTGAATTTTTATTTTTAGTATTAACTGATGTTGAATATGGTCGATTTTTATTAACAATTGTATGATTATCTTCATAAACGTTTATAATACCATTTGATTCATCATTTAATTGACGACGATTTTGATTATTATTACCTATATCTTCATCTTCTTCATCGAAATCCATATTTTCTTTAAATGCTGATGTAGCTGATGTAACAATAACTAAGATATAAATATAAAATAATATTTTATTATTAATATATTAATATTATTTTTATTTTTATTTTATACCTAATTGTTTAAGTAATTCTTCATTATTTGTTAATATACCAGTTGGTTTTTTATGTTTATTACCTTTGCGATCTTTCTTTTTAAAGAAATCATCAAGATCATCATTAGTTGCCATGTTTCTTTATTGTTGTTTCTTTCTTCGGAATGATATTTATGTAATAAAAAATAAAATAAAACAGAAAACTTTTGTAGATTTAAATATATATATATATGTATGTATGTATGTATGTGTTGTGTTTTGTCTTTTGAAACTTGTTTTTTTTTTGTTTTTGTTCGTTAATTTTGCTAATTGAAATAACTAAGATTGTTTTTCAAACATGATTGATAATAATTGTCCAGTTGGACAGATATTTGAAATAGAAAGAAATTGTTTGTTATTTAAAGTATTGTTTAATGAAGAAACGGTGGAAATTTGATGAGAAAAAAAATAAGAAGAGCGCGTTTTTCTGCGACTCTTGACGGACGACAAAACGGAAGAACGGTTGTTCGAAAAGCTTTTCTGTGTAGAGTCTAGCATAATCTAAAAGAACGAAAATAAGAAAAGTAAAAAAATAACTGAAAAAACTCATGTGAATATAACAGTCGTTATATTTTGCATTCATCATGATGACAATGTATAGACTTTCATATAATTTTATTATATAATAAACTTATCTTTATTTCTTGGTTTTTTTTTTTTGGTTTGTTTTTCGTTTTTTAACAAAGAGAAAAGTGAATTTTAAATTGGGAAACAATATTGAATATTGATCTCTGAAAATTAAAAAGAAAAAAAGGAGAGAAGATTGAGAAAATAAAAGGAACGATAACAATAAATGTCTGTCTGTCTATGAGTACATACACTTGCATTCATGTCTTTGAGAGTAACTCCGACCTGAGTAAATAAACGCCTACACGCATCATCTTTCCAACTATATATGGAAAAGAAAGAAAAAAAAAAGAGTGACGTAGCTTTTTTTTTTTTTTTTTTTTAGATTTTTTTCAAAATCGAATACCAAAAAGAAAAACAAAAGAAAGAAATAGAAGATAGAAAGGCCAAAGTTTATCTCATCATATCACTAGGTGACAATAATGAGACAAGGAATGATTAGAATTTAAGTAGATGAAAAGAAAAGTGTAAACAATTCTACGATAGAAATAGAAAAATATGATACAAAAAAGGAAAAAGAAAAAGGAAAAGGAAAAGAAAAGAACGAATCAAAGATAAGAGAATAAAACATAAACTATAGGATAATCTCATTTTTCTTGGTTTCATTAAATCAAAACTATATTTTGTCAAAATATTTATCAAATAAAAAAGAAAAATAAAGATTTTTTTTTTTTATCATATTCAAATACTTTTTGTTCTAAATAAAACTGAATGTTTTGGAATTTTTTTCAATTTTCTGAATAATGGTACGAGATTATATTTATTAATAAATGTTCGATCAATATGAAAAAGTATTGCATTAGTATAACCTGAAATACCATATTGAAAAATGAGATTTTTTCCAATACTATTTAATGAAATGCTGTATGGAAAATCCAAATAACCTAAGAAAACTAATAGAAAATAAACAAAATAAATAAACAATATTTGTATTTACCTAAATGTTCAGATCGTTCATTTGCAATTGAAAATTTACTATGATTAGTTCTTATGCCAATTGGTCGACTATAAATAGGAAAATTATTATCAACAAGTGCTATTATTGAATTTGTTGGATCTCGAATATTACCTATTAAATAAAAGAGAAAAAAAAGAAAATGTTGTTCTTTTTATCAATTATATGTAATCACGTTAATTTAATAGACAATAGCTAATACACACAAAAGAAAAGAGAACATAATTTATAAGATGAATTGAAGAGCTATTCTCGAACATATGTCTTGATTTATTAGAAGAACATATAATAATAGAATTAGAAAATCTACTAACCAAAAGACTCATCACCATGTTCATCAATATATACACGAATTTTATTTGGCCAAATAAAAATTTTTTCTATTGTACAAAAATAATTATCATTATATCGACTTATACATTGTTTAAGTTCATCACCGGATATTGTTCGTTGACAATAGACTAATTTTTCAAAAATAAGAAAATAATCAATTTAAATTTTCTTTCTTAAATTTTACTTTGTTTACAATGTTCAAACCATTTTATTGTCTCCGAAGTTTTTTCACATGTAGGATCACGACGTAAGGTCATTATTCGCCAATATCTTTCATCTTGAATAAATCGTCGAAAATATCGACAAGTTGATGTAAATGAAAGAAAATCATGTACATCATTTTTCCACGGTCGACCAATAATATAAAAAATAATTATTTCAATTAATTCATTTGGTAATTCCAATATAGATGTTTCCATCTAAAAGATACAATCGAATATAGGGAATATCAATGGGGAGAGAGAGAGAGAAAAAAAAAACGTTGTTTTATTAGTATACTATAGGATATTTGGTTGTTGGATCAAATAATGAAAAGTACAAGAACAGAAAAAAAAGGATGACATGAAATAAAGAATTATTATTTTTTTCTTTTTCTTTTTAGTTCATAAGTCTAATGTTTGCTATCATGACCATGATGAAAGTGTTGTTCAAATTCGGCATCACTTGTTTCATAACCTTTATTATCAAAATGAATAGCATTAAACCATTTACTATGAAATGGTGAATGTATTCCATCTTTAATTGGCCATTTCATACGTGGTCGTAAATGATCCCAATCTTTATATTCTGGACGTTGATGATCTTGTGGTAGAATTACATTAAGATATGTTAATAAAGCAATAGCTGGTATAGCAACTAATAATGATACCCATTTCCACATATTAACTTGTGAATGAAAACGATTATTTATCTTATCAAATTCAATTGGATCAATGGGACAATAATCAATTGGTACAGGTCGAACGCGTTCTGGAACACCTAAAGTTTTACGAAAAAATAGAGCTTCGTTTGTTTTCCATAAATCCTACTAATGAGAAAAAAATTCTTTAAAATAGAATATTTGTTTCATTAAAAAGAAAATCTCTCAACGTTTCTTTGTTGAATGTCATGTATTTCATAGAATTAATCTAATTTGCACACTTCAAAAAAGAAAAGCATGTCTTTCAACAGTTGACAATTTAATGTTGAAAAAAAAATGACTTTTTATTAATACAAGGCGAGGGTTAATTAAATACCTTTGACTATTTTTATCCCAGGTTAGAATTATAATAAAGAAGAAAAGAAGATAGCATATTCTTAAAATCATAAACAGAGTCTCTTAAAAGAAGTAGAAAAGTAGTTGTATATCCACCATTAATATTTTTCTATTACTTTCGAAAAGATACAAGAAAATTAAGGCTTGACTCTAGTCTCTACAAAATAGACAATGAAAACTAAACTAATCTATTCTATACAACACACTAAGATGATGAAAAAAATATATATTTGGTTTTTACCATCTTTCTCTTTCTCCTACTTAATTCATGTCATCGTTTTAGTCTAGTTCAATTCTACTTCATTCATTATGAAAATATGAATATAAGGTAAGTTTAAATATTAATATAAAATTATTTACCAGGCCATATTTTAAGTTGATGTGCACGTTGTTCATCTGTAAGTACAGATACAGCTGATGAATTTTGTGCAGGAACACGAAATGCGTCTTGTTGACGACGAGCAGCCAATAATTGGTTGATAACACGTGTCAAGTTTGGACGCGATCGTAGAGCAGGCAACATATTCGTAAAGAATAACTTCTTCTAGAAAAACAAATTCGAGAACAACGAAGAAGGTAGTCAATATAAAATGCAATAGAAATAAATAAACAATAAGCATTATATGATTAGCCAATCAACATAGAAAACTTATACAAAAAAAAATCAAATAAATTAGTGATAGTTTCATTTAATACGAAACAAAAAGAAAAAATTTTCTATTTGTACGACGAAAAATTTTATTGAAACAATAAAAATTCAACAACGCCATCTGAAGAAACAATCTATTGCATAGAAACCAATCAATTTTAGGATGCTTTCTATTTTTATAGCCTTCATTCGGGTTGTGTATAGTGAAACAAACTTGACGTAAGCCGCATTTGAATCCATCAGTCCATGTTATACTTTATTTAGTGAATATATCTTTACAAAACTATCACTAGGCGTCGTTCTTTGACAGTGAACTATTTTCAAGGAATTTTGAATAATCTGTTTCTTATATGTCAGTACAATATGACTTAAGAAAAAATATAGAAATAAAGAAATTCTGTAAAAGTATTGTGTCTTGTTTTAACTTGCCTAGAGAATTTTTTAACGGAAGCTAAAGCTATCATCAAGCATGAGGGAAACGATGCAATTAACTGTATTTGATTTCAGAACTTCACGCCAGTTTTATAAATTATCAACTTCAAATTCTTATTGTCCCAATTTTATCACCTAGCTACCAATACTTGACGCAAAAGATATCAGCACTGGTCATGAATACGTACGAACAAGATAATACTGCATACGATGAATTTGTAAAAGATGAACATGACACGTATGTAATTATAGAAAACCATAAATACTTTTTATTCAATCATAATCCATTAAAGCCGGTCATATTTGAATACAATTATACAGTAAAATTAGGAAAAGGATATCATTCGGGTGATTGTCTTACATGTTGAGAAAAGAATCACTAAGACAATTGTATATGAAGTTATAATCAAACAGAATTCAACATACAGAAAAGATTACGGGGCAGTAGATGATCAGATAGCTCACCGGTTATGTTTGTAACAAGCCTATGCTGGGATCATAATACACCAACAAAAATGAAGACTTATGTCATCTACTCACATTTTGGGATTGCTTCACTGACAAACTGTCCTCCTTGCTTGTAGTCCTATGCGTAATATCCACTTCAAACAGTATGTTGTGATGCCTCTTAAAATCAACGTTAATCAAGCTGAATTTTTATTGCGAATACGTATACTAATTAGTTCTGTTCGTAATAAAATTTCTAGCTCAAATGATCGAGTCCTTATGATTCTGTGAACCTCTCTCATACGAGCAAACAACGCTCTATTGAGCAACTTTGGATCCTTATATGTTACAAATGACACCATATAGTGATCTAAAACTTTTAGTGTAGATAGAACTCATAAAGATCTACGATCAGTGAAGATTCGAGTTCGATATGATGTGCCCTTTCAAGACAATATTGATAAAATTAAGTTTTTGACAAAAATCCTGATTTTTAGTCGAGATCATCTACTAAGAGAGAAGATAGATTGGAAGTTGATATTTAAACTCTGTATTTTCCATATGTAGTCTACAAGCTGATAGAAAAGTCAACGTGGGATCTATAATATAGATGTGTCATAGAAGTTTTCTAAATATTCCTGTAAAGTAACTTCTCTTAAGAAATATGCTGGTTATTGTTTAGGTCAATATATTAGAGTTTTCCTCGCAAAACCTCAGTAAAACTCTTCAATCATCATGAATTTTCTTTACTCGTCATGTTAACAAAAATTTTGAAATTCCAACTCATGACTTACGAGGGAACATGTAAAAGTGATAAATCGATTTCGAGGCAAAATCTACTAAAGAACAGATAGTCGAGTACGCTGAATTCGAATATCAGGATCTCTCGTGCTGCTGGACCTTTAGACATCTGATGCATTAGTAAATTAGTTTACTCCAGCAAACACCTTTTTGCACAAAAATATTTTTTTTTTTGGTCTTGTCAGAGTGTATTGTACATAAAACTGTTAAAAAAAAACAATTTTTTGTTATTTTGAAACGATCATAAAGTTCGTTATGATACCCGAAACTTTTCAATGCCAACAACTTGTCACTTTTTTAATGATCTACATCAAGCAGACTTTATATCTTAGTATTCGGTTATTTTGTCCATTTCAGTTGATAATTCTTGAGCATTTAGATGTGAATACAAGATGTGTATGTGAGTGTGAGTCTTCTCATTGGAAATTTATCATCTGAATAACTACTTATTTATATTTATACTTCTCAGAAAATTGAGTGATACTGCAAAGAAATAAAGAAATGACACAAATTACTAAATTGATTGTTCAATAAATAATACTTGATTGCTGTTTTATCTATTACTATTAATGATGTGCACTTTTCAATAAACATTGGTAAGCTTGAATGTGTTATCTTGATTGTTTTATATAACATTTTCATTACTTGCTTTGTATAAGAATGATACAAGCAAAAAATATACGCACGGAAAGTTACCAGCTGATTCGAACATTCACTTCTGAAGCTGTGTTGGCTTCCTAGGATGTAGATGTTGGTGATTGTACATAAATGATTTTTCACTTACACTGACACTCATGCCTACATCCACACCGACAGACACATCTCATTATTGAAAACAGAACAAAAATGTCACTAACTACATGATTTGATATTTAGGAAACGTCTAACGCACTTCATTCCTTAAATCATAAATAGAAATAGGGCTTTTGCGTTTGCTTCCTGTCAAAAAAGAAAAACATATTCAATAAATCTTATAAAAATTGTTATTCAAGGAAATAAGCCCAAATTAAATCATTGATTGTTTTCAAATAGAAATTAACAATAATTTGTTTATGTTGCAATACAATCGTGTGGTCAAAGTGACAATTTAGATCTTTTTGTTTTCGAAAATATAAAGGCTCTTTATAGAAGTCAATTATCAAGATTAGAAATATTTTGTTATTTGGAAATGGATCAATCAATTAAGAAGACATAGCGAACACCTGAATATATACAAGGAGAGAGAAGGGATATCAATAACGAGAAACAATATCAAATAATGTTCTATGTAAAAATATTTCTTTTCAAAGCTTTAAAAGATATATTTGTTTTTATATAATTATACTGCTAACGATGGAGATTAGACTTCCCTATAAATATCAAGTATATTCAATTTTCGATATTGAATACCATTAAAAGAAACGATCACTGTAACAATGAAGTTACCTATAACTACAGGTAATTATTTAAAATTAAATTATCTATAATATATGTTTCTCATTATAAAAATAATTCCTTTCATACAACAATGAATTAGTCGTGATAAATGTACTTTTGTTGCTATTAATTGACTATGGTAGGACAAGTATAAGAATAATTACATATTCGATAATTTTTATATTTGTTTTTGTTCATTAGCATCGGCACAGATGTATCAAAAATCAATTAATTGGGACAATCGTGCTCATCAACAATCATATACGGATGCCATGGCTAGATCAGATTTTGGTTCAGTTACTGGATGGAATAATAATCGTGCTATGACATCTAGTGGCACGTTACGTATAACAGTCGAGAAAAATGCTCTGTCCGGAGCAGGAGGGCTCATATCAAATACACGAATTCCAGAAGGTTCTGCTTATGAATTAGATTTCGATGTTAGATTTCATAGTCAATTTGAATGGAGTCGTGGTGGAAAAGTTGGTTTCGGTTTTGGTATTGGAAATGGAAATACAGGATGCAATTTACCAACTGATGGAGCAGGTGGCTCTCTCCGTTTGATGTGGTACCAAAATCCAAGTACAAATCGAGTCTATTTTCATCCATATGTTTATCATGCAGGAATGCCAGGACCATGTGGAAGCAACTTCGGCAAATCTTATCCATCATCAGGTATAGCTGCTCAATAGAGAAAAACCATTTGTCTAAAAGTATTATCAAAATATGAGCTAGTATTTCTCGAATGTGTTTCTTATCAAGTTCATAAAATATTAACTAATTTTATAAAAATATTATTGTTCGTTTTAGCATTCTCTAAAACATATATTTTTTCTTTTCAATTCAGGTAGTATTGAAAAAGGTAAATCGTACAAAGTTCATATGTATATTAAATCGAATACTGGTAATAATGCTAATGGACGCGTACAAATTCTAATCAATGGTGAAACACTCATTGATCAAAGTATTCGTTGGACAACAAATGATAGTAAACGACTTATCAACAATTTATCTTTTCATACGTAAGTTTAATTATGTTTCTATTTTCATTTCAAATAACTTACATTTTTTTTTCCTTCCATAGATTTCGCGGTGGAAAAGCAGATGAATGGAAATCGGGTACTGATGGTTATATTTACTATGACAATTTGTATGTTCGACAAATTAGTGCATAAACGAGAAGTTGAGCAATAGAATCCAAAACTATCGAATCAATCAACTAAACTTGTCGTTTTTTTTTTCTCAACTTATATGTTCTAAAAACATGTTGTCATGCAACTGTTTATATAATTCAAGAAAAATACGAAATAAACCCCTCAAATATATAGTTCACAATATTCATAGTTTGAACTCTTCTTTTACTGGAATTATTTTCAAGATGTATTTCTTTCACCAAGTATAACTAAGTTTATTTTCATTTGTATTGAGGCTATAGGTTCTTTTAAATTGGATTGAAACCTTTCAAGATTTTTTCAGATCTTGAAATAAATCAAAAGAATTGAAATGGATAGATATACATATAATTTAAACAAGTGTATCAAATTGTGGATCAACAGACGACAAGTTTTTCTTGCATTGTCAACATAGAAGAAAACTTCGAAGTGAATCTATTTCAATTCGCACGGACGTCATTTAAAATAATTTTTTTTAATTTAAAAATGTGTTATTTAAAAATTTTCATAGGTATTTATAAGATTTGACAGCTTATTAAAAACCAGCTATTCAATAGTTTAAATAATTGTTCTCAATGTAAGAACATTCGTCTTATTGATCTTCAT